CGCTGTCCGCGACCGCTTATTCGTCAGTCCAAGTTAATGGACTGCTTATTTCGCGGCTAACCTGCATATCTGCAGGTCGTTCCTCTATCCGCAACCTGAGGACGCGCCCGTATGACGCGTTAATAATAAGCCGTTATGACGTCATACCTAAACTTTGATATTAGGGTAAGCCCTATGGTGGGCGGCACTAGCTGACGTCAGAATTCAACACTGACCTAATGTAAGCCCTATGACGTTATACCCGAACCTACTACAGCTGGCCCGTTACACACACACAATCCCTATGACGTCACGCTAACTACATAGAATTATGAACACAGGGGTATTCATCATTTACGAAATATCGACTTAAACTTAAACGACAGCGTCGGGGGTAAATTGGCACACCGGTATATAGGGTTATGACATATCAAACGCGCGGACTCGGCGCGTACTATACGTACACTGAACCGTTACATCACGCCTTTACTCTATGCTATGATAAGATGAACCCAATGACATGATTGTGCCGTCGGCAATGACGCTGTCATGTACGACCCTATACCCTACGACTACAATGTCGGGCGGTGCTTCATCGATCAGCGCAAAGGCTCCCTAACTCCATCGTCAGTGATCTCACTACCGACAAGTCGATGTCGGGTTGATCAAAAAAAAAAAAAAAGTTCGTTTTCCAGAGTACCTACACGCTAACGGTGTTCTAAATTTATAAACTTAAGAATGAAATTGAAGTACTATTTAATATGAGTAAAACAGTGCTAGTTCCACAGTGATAGCTTATTTGGATGTGAAGTTATAGGCTCTAGAACATAGGCTGTTTTTTCATGTTTTTAATTATAAAAAATGCACTATCTGGTAAAAAAACAATAATAAAAAAAAATATATATTATTTTTGTTGTCAATGACCTTTAAGAAGTCTATGATATAAATTTCATAAATTTCTGAACTATACCAGCACACACATTAGGTGATTCCACATGGAATGACCCATACTAGTTCTTCTTGATAGTAGTTATCTATATTCTATGGGTATTCTCTATAGATCTTGTAAACATGGATAGGACATTGATGCTTTATCAGTGAAGACTGTGGTGATAGTAAATTGAGACTATTTGCTTACATTATTACATGATAACGTTTAGTTTTTAGTTTTTAATGGTTTGTAATTATTAATTAGTATAAGTTATGTAATGTATAATAATAATGTAAAACTTAAAACAATTATTCTTCCCAAAACTTATAAAATATATAGTATAACAGTAACAAACATAAATTAATCGTGATAAAAATGAATAGTTTTTGTTAGTTTGGCTCTTGTTTTAATGCGTTCTTCATTTCATATTCTAACTTTGTGATACATTCTAACATCTAAATACTTCAATACTATTAAATTTATCATATTTTTTTTGTGGTCATTTTCAAACCAAGCAATATCTCCATAAGTTACTTTAGAAAATATGTTATAACTTCTATATAGTTCAGTTTTAACTTTAATTAAAAAAAAATTGTATGGATTTTTTGAATGGATGTGATTAGTGTACTGTTTAAATATTTTTTCAGTTACATTACAGATTATCTCAACATCAGGACTTGGTTTTGTGAGATTACCACGATTCTTAATTTCTGTCTAACTATTCTTGTGAGTAGATAAAATTAAGCTAAGTTTACATTCATCACAATGAATTTTTATAGGTACCTTTTTGGCTACAATCCCAGCTATGTATGTTGATACCCCATTAACAAATTAGCTCGAATGTATACAATTCTCAAAGTAGTCATGATCAACCAATGTTTTTGATGGACACCATTTAAATGTTAAGTTCAAAGAATCTTCATTTCTTTCTTTTAATTTTGTTGTTGATAAAAATTTAGTATTATCTAACATACAATTTCCATGCATAGATTCTGTTATTTCATTATGAATCAATACTCTCTTAAATGCAGTAATAAATTGCCTACAAGTTGGGTTATCATTAAATCCTCCTCTACTTCTAAAAGCGCTAAATGTAGTTTCAATGTAGTCCTGCGATATTTTGTAAGTAAGTAAAAATTCCATCGGTGTTGTTTCAATAAGCAATTTATACAATCTTAAAGAGTTTTCAAGAGAAAATAAAAGACCAACAAATCCTGTTCTTCTTTGTGACGTAACTACTGATATATTATCTTCAAATGTTAGACTCATTATATAATGTCTAAATTTCTCTGCAAAACATGTATAACTTGCCAATGTTTCTACAGATATTGATTTATTAAACGGCTTCTTGGAAAATCTATATCTACTATTAGTTATGTCGAAAGCATTATTAATCATAGTACAAAATTCTGCAGCAGCTAAGGAATTTTTAAAAGTGCTATCAATTGTTGATAAATATTTCAAAGAATCAGCAACACTCTGACTTAAAGTTTGAGCTGCTAAACGTACATTCATTTTTTCATTGAAAAAATTAATATGCCGAAAAGTCAGTTTATTAGCTGCTCGAAGTCTTTAAATAGATTGTACATCAACTAATTTTACTAAATATTCCCATTCTATAAGTTCACCTTTACTATTTTTTATAACTTTTCTATGATTAAATGCATTTCTTATTAATTTAAGCATGTGTGCTGGGTCATAGAAAATAAATATTTTTTGATCAGGTGTATCAGGAATTTTATGCAAAATATATGTTTGTGAATTCTCTATAGTTAACTTAGCACCAAGAGCATTGCACATGGCTGTATTTACGTGTGCTCCATTAAAAGTTAATGAATGAATTTTGACATTATTATCTCTAAGTAATATTAATGATTTTTCTAATAGATTATCCCTCTCTTTGCCATTTAAAGAATCAATTAAGAAGTAACCTATTGGCAGTTTCCAATAACCATTCAATGCTACTACCAAGAACACAAGTGCGCTTATCATAATTAAAATGTAAACAAACGGCCTCAATTTCTTATCAGTTCAGGACCGCGAAAACACAAGGGCCTCAAATACGAATGTCCTACCCATGTTTATAAGATCTATGTTATTCTCATAGATTAAATACATATAGATACACCACGCCGTACACAATTTTTGCAGTCCAATTTTTATCATGAATGGACTCAGGGAAACAATGCACTGTACGATGGCGATTGTGCTGATAGATAGCGTAAATTTTGAGTGCTTCTATTGGTTGAAATATACGTGGTATTTTAAATCTTTAATAATTATTAAATGAATGTATGATGCACATAATTAAACAGTTATTGTTATACACGTTAATTGTATTTTATGACATAATGTAAGGTTTTTTATGATTTTAACTCTTTGTAATTATTTTTTCATTGAAATTTCATTAAATTTTTTATTTCAATACTATACTAAGAATCCTTAATAGGACTTTGACATAAAATATAGTATTACAGTACAAGACTAAACTGTTGGCCACTAAATATTTTTATAAATTATTTTAAACAGAAAGTAGTGGCAGATAAATTATTTTGTAATTAGGATGAGTTGAAAAATCTTTATGATAAAAATCATCCTTTTTCTTATGCTTTATATAGTAAAAATCCCAATCAATTAAACTGTCTATAACAAGCCAACATTATTATTAGTGACCTTAGATTATCACAACCTATTAAAAGATATGGTGTAAAACCACCATGTTTTAATGGTTTGCTATGGAGTATCAACGCTGTTATAATGTTATTTCAGCAACAGCAAAATTTAAGATACGATTATTTAATAACTAGTAGGTTAAACCAGGATGTTTTAGAAAACACTTTTTCAGTTTATCGTCAAAGGGGAGGTTTTAATAAGAATTCTACGGCTAGGACTTTCAGGGTATCATCATTTAGAATTCGAGCTAAACACAATTTAATGAGATGATCTGAAACCTCAAATTGTGAGCTAGATGATGACACTAATATTTTGGATTTACCTTTATCTTCCACTGACGAAATTACAACTGAAAATCCTATAGATTCCGATTATAGTTCAGACACATCTGAAATATCTTCCTTCTCTAATTTCTGTCCTACTATACAAGAACAACTGATTTCTGTTCCTACATTAACTTTAAAGACCTACTCAAATGTATATTTTGTGGGGTATCTCGGTAAAAAATTGTTAGATAAATTTCCATGTAAACCATGTGAAATTTATGAAAGAGGATTGTTAAGTCCTATGTAACTATCGTTATCAACATGTACGTGGACGGTCGTTGACCACCACTTTTACTTAAGTCAGTCGGCGGCGTGCCTTCTTATCGTATAGTTATAGCTAAAACGAATAAAAAATTGACTTACAAATGTTCGTAGTTTTACTTAAAATTTAAAATTAAGAAAACCCAAAAATCTGTTCAACCAGAAAAAAGACATACAGTCCACAACAAAGATACAAATCTTTTTAATGACAAAGAATTTTTAATTTTTTATAAAATATTTCAAACACAAAATCAAATAATTACTAGTAAGTTGAAAAAAAACAAAAGAAATTTGAATACATTTTGTTACTAATGCTCAACAGATAATTCATCATTTTATAAATGAAAAATCGTATACAACACAATTGAGTTTTAAATTAAATAGTATAATCACAAATTAATTATATCCTATTATAAATACTAAAGACACGTCGCGCCTGGCAGACCGTACCTTTAGCCGTACATCAATAATCGCGGCTATTACTTGAATATCAACAAACTGGACAGTTATTATTAAATATTTAATATTTCTAAAGAGGTATAGCGCTATCTCTACGGTTATAAATTAACAAAAAATCGGTTGCCAATTGTCTGAATCCCGTAGCCTATCTATGTGTATTTAATCTATGCTAAAACTCAATAAGAATTTTTTTCATGCAAAAATAAAATTTGTCAATTATAATAGAATTTTTAAAAGAACTTATATATTCATTCATTTATGTCATAATATTATTGAATAGTATTCATATCATGTACTTTTTATCAAAAAATATGTTGAACTGTTAATATTTTTTAAGGTTATTTCTTATCGTCATATAAAATTACTCATAACTTCAAAGTGTAGTTTTAAATACTAAAATTGTAAAAACTCGTGTATTATTACCGTCGGTAATTTGCCGAGTGTTTTATGTTAGTTCTTAATTACTGTTATTTTACTTTTTCGTACGTTAAACTATTAGTATAATTTAAACAAATCTTTAATTAAATTGATAATCTGACTTTTCCAGGTAAATATTTACATACTAATTATCTTTTTTCCATTATATTGTATAATATTAATCTATTGTCTATATTTTTATTAAATAAAATATTTCCTAATGTATTTATATTTATATTTTTATGATTATTATTATTTAAAATTTAATTTTAGCTCAATTTTTATTGGTATTAATTTAAAAATTATTTCATTTTTATTCCTTATAATTACACTAATTATTATGAACTAATAATAATTTGTGTAATTTGTAATTGATGGTCTTCAAATTAAAATGATACTTTTATTTAACTGATATATTAAAATCTTTATTTTGAATCAATTTTATCATTAAGTATTCTTCAATCTTTACTTAATAATTTTTAATGTTGTGAATTTACATAATTTTAATATTTATTATTATCAAATAATATTTCAGTATGCCATCCGATGCTAAAAAAAGACAGCAAGCACAAAAGAAAAATGCAGCTAAAGCTCGGCAAACTACTAAAACAGTTCCACAAAAAGCCAATGAAACTAATGGAACATTAAATGGTAGTGATTCTAATGTTCCCATTAGTGAAGAAGGTACTTTAATGATGTTATTGCTATTATTTACTTTAAAATAGTTGTTATAAGTGTGCTATATTAATTAATTAAATTCAATTTAGAGTTATTATGTAAGAAATTGGAAGCTGATGCAAAATTAAATGCTGAGGCACGTGCATGTACTGGTAGTTTAGCATCACATCCTAGATCTAGAGATATTAAAATTGATAATTTATCTATAAGTTTTCATGGCTGTGAGTTATTACAAGATACAATGTTAGAGTTAAATTGTGGCCGACGATATGGTCTAATTGGACTTAACGGAAGTGGTAATTTTTTACAAAATTTATTTTAAATTTTTATGTTCTTAGCTTATTTGCACTTTGTTTATTTAGGAAAATCAACACTTTTATCAGTATTAGGAAATCGTGAAGTTCCAATTCCAGAACAAATTGACATTTTTCACTTGACTAGAGAAATGCCAGCATCTGAAAAATCTGCACTTCAATGCGTAATGGAAGTAGATCAAGAAAAAATTAGACTTGAAAAATTAGTGGATGAACTTGTAGCATGTACTGATGATGGTAAATTTTAACTTTTTTTTTATATTATTATAATATTTTTATTAGATGGTTTATCAAAACTTAATTTTTTACTTTTTGTTAAATCACCAATACTATAAATTAAAATTTTTCTTTTAATTAATTAACATATTAACCTAAAAACATTTTTGGAAGATTTACATAGTTGAATTACTTAAAATTTTAGAGTCTCAAGAACAACTTATGGATATTTATGAAAGATTAGATGATATTAGTGCTGATACTGCTGAGGCTCGAGCTGCTAATATATTGCACGGTCTTGGCTTTACAAAAGAAATGCAAAACAAAAAGACTAAAGATTTTTCAGGTAATACATTTTTATTATTTAGTTGAATTATATAAGGTATTCATAAAGTAAAGATCATTAATCATTCTTTCCAATTTATTATAATTGTCCTGATTAATTTTTAAACACTCTGTTTATTGGTTTTTATTCATATTTAAACATAAATATTCTAATATGAATATTTTATAATTATAATTTTACTTTAACATTGTATTAAAGATAACATGTATACCTTTCTTTTTTTAGGAGGTTGGAGGATGCGAATTGCTTTGGCTAGAGCACTTTATGTTACTCCTCATTTATTATTACTTGATGAGCCAACAAATCATTTAGATTTGGATGCTTGTGTATGGCTTGAAGAAGAATTAAAAACGTAGGTTGCTAATAGATTTCTTTATCTATAGTAATAATAATGGAATAATTCTTTATTTTAATTTTAGATACAAAAGAATATTAGTAATTATATCTCACTCTCAAGATTTTTTGAATGGAATATGCACCAATACCATTCATTTGGATAAAAAAAGGCTCAAGTACTATGGTGTATGTCAAACAACATTAATTTTTTTTTTAATTTATTGCTAATTCATTAATTTTGTTTTAGGGTAATTATGATGCTTTTGTGCGAACAAGAGTAGAACAGCTAGAAAACCAAATGAAACAATACAATTGGGAACAAGATCAAATATCTCATATGAAAGTAATTTAAATTGTGATAATATTAATTAAAATGTTTGACATTTGATTTATTATTATAGTATAAATTTCTAATTAGATTAATTATAAATTAATTATAGTAATGTCTTTATTGAATAATAGTTGCCATCCTATAGTTTTATTTTAATTGGCAGTTTGAAATTGATTTATTTTAATTATATACCCTATCTAACTTAATCATTTTTATTTTTATTTAATTGAAATGTTTTAAGATAATTTCATTTTTAATTTAAGAATTATATTGCTCGATTCGGACATGGAAGTGCTAAACTTGCTAGACAAGCTCAAAGTAAAGAAAAAACATTAGCCAAAATGGTTGCTCAAGGTCTAACTGAAAAAGTTACCAATGATAAATTAGTAACTTTTCATTTTCCTTCTTGTGGGACTATACCACCGCCTGTTATTATGGTTCAGGTATTTATTAAAATTTTATTTGTTTTAAAATTATTTTAATTTTTTTTTCATATCATCTAGAATGTCAGTTTTCAATATAATGAAAATACACCATATATTTATAAAAACTTAGAATTTGGTATTGATTTGGATACAAGACTTGCATTAGTAGGACCTAATGGAGCAGGAAAAAGTACCCTTTTGAAATTATTGTATGGTGAAGTAAGTAAACTTATTTTAGTTAAATTAAATAATTTATTAATATTTAAATATAATGTTATTTATGATAATCTAGTGATTTATTAATTTATGCTAAATTATCAGTAATACAAACATTTTGTTTAGTTATTCCCTACTGAAGGAATGATTCGTAAGAATTCTCATCTACGAATTGCTAGGTATCATCAACATCTTCATGAATTGCTTGACTTAGATCTGTCACCACTTGATTACATGATGCAATCATTTCCAGAAGTTAAAGAACGAGAAGAAATGAGAAAAATTATTGGTCGTTATGGATTAACTGGAAGGCAACAAGTTGGTTAATTTTTATTTTTTATAATATTTAGATCCAATTTTTTATAGTCCGTTAAAATGTCTATTTTTTGGCAATTTTAAACATAGAAATAACTATTTTTAATTAATAAAAAAACAAAAACTTAATAAAAACTTTGATTATTTTTGTTGATTTCCATAAATTAATATAATTTATTTATATGTTTATAATACTGGGTGTTTCATTATTCTACTACCTTAATTTTTGTAGTATATTAAAATTAATACATAATTTTGTATTACATTTTCATGTATAAAGTCATTGTATGTTACATTCTATTCTAATTTATATACATTATTATAAGTATTTGTTTTAATTAACTTAAGATACACTGTCAAATGGGGCAACTAGAGATAATTTAAATATCTATTATCATTTTGTCATATTAATCTAGAGCACTAGTAAAATATTTACAAGTATTGTTAAGCAATACAAAATATTTCTTCACAAAAATTAAGAATTGAAATCTGTAAAATATTTAACTGTCCCCTATTTTAATCACTCCTTGATAGTAATTTTAATCTCAACAAATATTTATATTTTAATTATTACAGGTTTGTCCTATTCGTCAACTAAGTGATGGTCAAAGATGTAGAGTAGTATTTGCATACTTGGCTTGGCAAGTTCCTCACTTATTACTTCTTGATGAACCTACTAACCATTTAGATATGGAGACCATTGATTCTTTGGCAGATGCTATAAATGACTTTGATGGAGGCATGGTTTTAGTTAGTCACGACTTTAGGCTTATTTCTCAAGTACATAAATTAAATTTTTCTGCTTTCTCTAAATAGTTTTAAGAGTTAATTATTATTGGTATAATTTTAGGTAGCTGAAGAAATTTGGGTTTGTGAAAAAGGTACAGTCACTAAATGGCAATCAGGTATTTTGGATTACAAAGAACATTTGAAAAAGAAGGTTTTGAAAAATAATGCTGATGCTGCTATCAAACGTTAATATAACAATTCTTAAATTTTTTTTTGAGTTCTGCAGTTTAACAACTTTTGAGTGTTGAGGAGTTTTATGATAATAAAATATACTCAATTATATTTTAATGCATTCATTGTTATTTCATGTGTAAACATTTTAGTTTATTTTCAACCCATAATTTGTATTTATTCTAGCTAATTAATACTTAATTACCATTACTTAACATTAATGAAAACTAATACAGTGTTAATAAGCATATTTAAATATCGCCATAGTAGTTGGGAAAAAATTATTATATGATATTAGTTTTCACAGGCCTGAATTGTACTAGTAAGTTACTAAGAAAATTTCAGTAGCCTATTCTAAATTGAGATTTATTAAAAATATTCAGAATTTTTGGAACAAACTTAAAATTGAATTGTAAACAAAAAATAATAATAATAACAAAACTTTTATGTACTGTTAGATCAATTACTAACATTTTGTTGGCTGATAAAAGTGTAAAATCTCTGTGGGCTTTTATTTTCTCAATCTAGCTCTTGTTATCCCAACAATTTTAAGATTACTGTTAGTTGTATTGAAAATTAACTATTTTACCTCATGACTAGACATCAAATAAGTACTTTGACTGGTCTACTGACAGAACATTGTCACTTGTTTAAACATCTTTACCCAATGGAGGTTTCAGAATCACCATTGTGCAGGAAATATGAAGTAGAAGAGGAAGACTCGGTTCATACAATGCGCGAGTCTGAAGCCTTATCCACACTAAGATCAAACTACTTGAGTAAATCTTTTCCTGAAAAAGAAAATTTCAAAAACCTAAGACCCAGATAGATACTTAATTTCGCCAGAGAGACGCTACTCTTTGGACATCCACAGGAGGTGAATTTATAGTCCACCCTTTATATATTTTGATAGGTATAATGTAATAACATTTGGGTATGTAAACCGAATCAAAACAGGTCTGAGTGCATAGACATTATGTACACCTCATTAATTTCTAAAACTAAATTTGCTACTAAATACAGAACTTAATAACCGAAAACTAATTAATTAATTTCTATAAAAATCTAATTTACAAGAACAGTTATAAAAGTGAGTGTTATTAAATTTCTTTTTATCAAATTTTAAATCCATAATTAATTTTTTTAAATTAAAGCAAAAAAAGTGAGTTTTGTATTTCTTCCGAAGAGGTATCAATATGATGAATACATTTAAATAACAAAATGAATATTTATATAATTATTTATGTTACATATTAACTTTTAATGCGCACAAATAAATATTAATTTTACTCTACAATAATTATTATTGTGTTATTTGAAAATTAAAATCATTAGTTCAATTTCAAATTGTATGTGTTCCATTATTATACCTCTGTTAGATATACATATTTCAAGCTACTGGAGGGTACAGTAAGATCTTGACAAAAGTTTTAATTGTATCTATGAAATCATTTTTCTATTCACAGTAAGATCAATACACAGAATATAGGGTAAAATTTGAATATATTTCTATTAAATATATATACTCTTCAAAAAATGTTGGCATTCGGCCATCAGAATTTTTATTTTAATGTAAAATTTAGCCCTTTTGAAAGTAATATTTAACAGCTATTAAAATTATTGCCTATTTCACTTATCATTCAAAGAAGTTATTTAATCTAGGAATAATAATATCTAATTTTTAAGCATAGATGAAATTTTACAAGAGACTTATGTTTAGAAAAGATTTGAAATAATTATATCCTTAGTTGTAAATCAGAGAGAGGAAGCTTAGCCTTCAACATGTTTAGAAATTAAATACAAAAATACTTTTTACAGTAGGAGAAAACTCAATTAAAATGTCAATGTTTTTTTTTAAATTTATTCATATGAAAATTAGTGAAGCGCCAAAAAAAAAGAATTAGTAAACCACCAATGCTACACAAGCATTGCACTTATTAAAATAGAATTTAATTATCATATCAATCCTTTTGACGTACTATTTTTCTTATTAATATATTAAATAATAGAAAAAAATATGTTAAATTGTTACATTTCTCAAATTAAAAATTATGTAATCGTTGAAAAGACGCTAAAAAGATTTATAGGATTTATTTTTGCAAGCTCTAGGAGAATAAATCACCCTCTTACGACTCCGTAGGAAACAAAATATTGGTATACCATAAAACTCATTTTTAATATCACAACATAATTTACGGCGTAGTTGAACAAAATTTGTATAGTGAGAAATTTTTAAGTTGTAAAAAAAAATTCCTGTACAGTTAAAAGTCACTCAAATAAATTATTTTGAGCGATTTTTAATCTTATTTCGTTGATTCTATAAGTTTTTAAACTTTTTTTTATCAAAATGAAGTTTAAATATTTCTTCCTAGATTGTTAATAGATTTGCAAACAAAATAATGGATTAAAAACAATTTCAATTTTCAGCATTGAATTTTTATTATTCTGATATTTATGTGAGTAGCTCAGTAAATTCCTTTGATTATACATATATAAGTTTGAATAATTAAGTTAACGTTAAATCATTATAAAAATTCTCTATTTTTATACCTCATTGATGAAAACGTAATTTAAAAATAGAATTATATTTTATGTATTTTTGTCTCAAAAACAATGATATCGCCTGTTGCTACACAGAATAAATAAATTGTCCTTACTGTGTGTTATCAATAATACCATGCCGTAGAGTGTTCAATCTTATCTTTATTTATAATTTAATAATCATGATTTGTATTTAGAATCTTGATACTTTGGTTAATCTAAATAATAATGTATAAATATTTTTATGGACATATTTTTTAACAAACATAGCAAATGTTTATTTATTATAACGTTCATGCCTCTAATATTATAATTTTAATTATTTTTATCTGTCAGTAGATATGTTAAACACAAATTTATAATGTGATTGTTACTCTGCATGAATTGAAAATACTAAGTATATTTCTTAGTTAAATAACTTGTATTTCTTGCGGTGAATATCAATTTATAAAAAATCATCATTATGGATGACCAAAATCTTTTGGATTTAGTCGACAGCAGTGATGATGATGATACTCAATCATTATCAGATAAATACAGCTCTAAAGTATTGACTGTTGAAGATATGTTATTAGGCAAAGGAAGGCAAGAAAAATCTTTAGGAAATTTGGCTACAAAATTCGCAGAACTTCTGAGAAATTCTCCTGATGGTGTGATGCATTTGAATAAAGTAAATTAGTTTTTATCTCAATATATTTTTTTCTTAATAAGTTATCAGAGTAGTAAACATTAGGTTTGTACCAGGAAAAAAAAGATATGTACTCTCAACTAGGTATTTTTATTTATCAGTAACTTTTTTTATTAAGAACATAATGACTAAAAGAAAAATGTCATTATAAATTATGCTGTCTGGGAGAATTTTTTTTCTCTCATAAATTTCCGAGTGTGCTATTATAAATAATGATTAATTTTTTTTTTTAATATAGAGTATTGTAATTTATTGAACCTTAAAAAAAGTTTCTAATAAATTCTGCAAGTGAAATAAAGTTTTGTTATAGGCTACAGCAATGCTCGCAGTAAAACAAAAAAGAAGAATATATGACATAACAAATGTTCTTGAAGGTATTGGTTTAATTGAAAAGAAAACAAAAAACCAAGTTAGATGGAGGTAAATTATTTATATTTTATCATATATCATTTTTCACGTATCATTTAAAAAATTATAGAGGATTAGAAACTAGCGAAGATGATAAAACTGTAGAAATGAGATCAATATTACAAGATGAAATACAAACTCTCAAATGGCAAGAAGAAATATTAGACAAACAATTAGAGGTGATAAACTAAATAATTTTACAATAATACTATGAAGCTTTTAACTAGTACCAAATAAAAATTATCATGATGGTCTATAGTAGATTTTATTATAGAATAATTTTATAAAATAAAACTATGAAGAAATATTTTATTCATTGATAAATTAATTATTAATTCAGTACTTTTTTTTTTTTATAGATTCTTAGCCGCGATTTCAAAGTATTAAAAGAAGAAAAGTCTTTTTCTCGATATATGTATTTATTAAGTAGTGAAATATCAAATAAACAACAAAAAAAATCAGTTTTCACTGTTCAACCTATGGAAGCCCTTAGAGGAGCTAGTATATCTATTCCTCGAACAAAGTTTAATAGAAATTATAACATTAAAGCATATGACAAAAGCATGCCTTTTAGAATACAGTTTAATTCTAAAAATGTACCAGTTAATATGAATCTAATTTCTTTCAAAGCATTTGGTCGACCTATGGTAAAAAATAAATTAATAATATAAATAATTTTAGGGAAGTAAGGTAAATTAATATTAATGGGATATAATTATCGTTTTAAATTTGTATTTAAAAATCTATTTACAATTATTGTAAATTCATTTTCAAAATTTTTTATATTATAATGGTGTTTTATAAAAAAAAGCAGTTTTGAATTTTCCTATAAATCAGTTTCATTTTATAAGAAATACATTATTAATGATACATATTGTTTCACTATGTGTTGAAGTTTAACAGTGAAATACTAAAAAACTAAAAACTAAAAAACAGTGAAATACGATATTGTGCATATGAAATCTTCTACTCGCTCAACACACAGTGACTCTCTCCATGGTGGCGTGATCGTTTTACATTATACATTTCTGAAGATGAACATGGAAATACAGAAATATTGAATGAAGATCATTACGAAAACATAATTTTGAATTTTCTTTTGCCTATTTTGGATAACATGGGCTCTGAAGAAATGTGGTTACAACAAGACGGTAAACTATTGCAATATTTCATGAAAAATTTGATAGCCAACTCATTTCACTCCATGGCAAGCGCAGTGGGCACCAAATTTTAATCAGTGGTTGTTTGATTAAACTCTTTGTGACTTCTTCCTTTGGTGCTTCATTAAATCACTAGTTTATGCAAACCATAAACTTTATTGGATCTCAATCAAGAAATTCAACAAAGAAGTTCTCAGTGAACAAGTAGGCAAGTCTATGAAAACATGATTTGGGATTAGATGATTAATAATTTTATGAACAGAGTCACTGTGTGTCAATCAGGTAAAGGTTTCATTAATAATGTATTTCTTGTAAATTGATATATATCAAAATTAAAAACTGCATTATTTATGAAACACCCTTTATTAAGAAATGTAATTATTATTAAATATAATATTTAAGAAATAGAATTTTCAACCTAATGTGATATTTGTAAAATATTCAAAAATGAATAATTAATTTACAATTACCCCATTTTTTAATATTTACACTACTTCAACTTATTAAAATAGTTTTATCAAATGGGTAAGCGAAGAGTTCTCCATTCTTCCCTGTACTATTATTAATTTGAAATTTAATCTTACATTAAGTATAATTTGATTATATTTAAAAAATAATTAAATAAAATAAGGCATAAATTTAGTTTTTATAATTTAAATAAAATATTTTTCATAAATTAATTTGCCTTATTTTATATTGTTTTATTTTTATAGAATAAAAGATGCAATGAAGATTCTTCAACTAGTAGTTCATGTAAAAAAACACATTTTGAAAAATCAACAGATGTCCTCAATAATATTGAACCATGTAAAATTTTAATTATTAAAATATTTATTTTACTTATAGATAAATTACCCCAATAAAATTAAACAAACATAATTATATAATAAATTAATAAAAATATTTTTTTTAGTTCCTGATGATACAGAAGTAGAAGAAGTTATAGTATTAAACAAAGAAGGAAAACAAGTAGAAAAAAATAAAGGTAGGTATTCAAAGGGTATATCATATAGATTTTAATAAGTCATAGAAATATTAATTATTTTTGTTTTGTTTATTATAAAAGATAATTATATAACATGTAAAATTTAATTTAAATTTAATAATAAAAAATGATTTTATCACATGGAATATTTAAGTATTTTTTATTATTATTACAGATACATTCTCAATTACAAATGATCATTACATTCAAGGTAAAACTATTAGTTTTATTTATTACAATTTTTTTTTTCTGAAATATTGTGTATTTTTTTTAATTGGATGTAAACAATTGGGTAATTATAAATACATTTATCCTCATAGAACATCTAGCATATTTTATTTTAGTTTGGGAAAGTTTGGTTAGATATAAGTTTGAAATAAAAACTTGTGCATTTATGTTTGCTCCATGATTTGCAATTACCTCACTTCATTCCTAGCCAAATGTATCTTCCATTTGTTTGATTGATCAAGAGTACCAAAACACAAAATAATTCTTTATTTGTAATTAATGAAAGTTACAAGTGTTAAGTTATTACATAGTTGATTTTGAAGTATTTATATCGCATAAGTTAGTTGTATTGTGTATTTGGAGTATATAGTTTGATTTAAATTAATAATTCAAGTTCTATTATCTTGAGGAAGTGTGTTTGTTGTCCGGGTGCTATGGTGTCTTTGAACGAACTTGTTCTGATGTTTGAAGTATATCTGGTTTGTTGGTAACTAAGACATTCAATAAAGATATGAATACTTGAGAGTTTACATTGACATCGAAAATAGTTTCGGATATAAGATAAAACTGTGTCAGTCTAGTGACAATTTATATAATTTTTATTTTATATGTAATTGAGTTATTAATAAAAATAGAATCATCTTGTACAATAACTCTGATCAATTTTTCTAAAATATACAAATTTATTATTATTTTTTTGTTATTGTGATCATATTTTGATCAATCATTTAATATAAAAAAGTAAGACAATGTATTTTAATCAAAGTGACATGTAGTTTAGTCAGAAAATTCCATTTTCATGGAAAGTAATAACTTTTTGTTAGAAAAATGTTTATAAATTTCAAATTAAAAAAATGATATTTTTATAATTAAGTTTAATTTGTAATTTAAAAAAAAAAATTTTATTGAAATGTTTTTGATGATATTATAACTAATATTTCAGTTCCTCCACGTTATGACCCAGTATTTAGATTAAGTCCTCCTCCATCAGACAGTACTTTCAATTATCTCATTGATCCTTCAGAAGGTGCATTTGAAGCTTTTGATATTTCACCAAAATAGATTTTAAATAAGTTATTCATAGTGAAATTTTGTTATAATATTAATATTGTTTGTATCAGTTAAACATATCACTAAAAATATTTATTTATGGCTAAATAAATGAGCAATAATTGTTTGTTTTATTTTATCTTTTTACTCTTTCCTTCTATTTAATTTGTGTGATTGTAAATAAAATTTTAATTTTAGAGATTTCATGTACTACTTAAAAAAATAAAAAATTTTTTTCATTTTATTTTTTTAGATTTTTACAAATTCATTATATTAAAAATATATTACAATTAATATTTTTAGCTTTAGACATAATTACTTAGTAATTTTATCCTGATTATAAATTTGTATAATATAACTTGTAATAATTAATTTTTGACTGTTTACATTTTTAAAGTACAAATATCAAATTATAATTAATATAAAAGCAAAATTAATGTATTATTCTTGTTAATTACTGTATGTATGTAATTTTGTTATGGGGTAATTTCTTGATTTTTAATAAACTATGATATATTTATTTATTCAAACAACAACAATTCTCTTAATTGTGTATTCATTTCTTCAAAGTAGCATATATTTGACAATACGTTTAATACATGGATTGCCAGCCCGTCTCATTACATCGCAAGTCTAGCCTAATTAGATTAACCCCCACCCTCGTTTTTAGTTAGGATGCAAAGTCTATCTACTGAACCATTACACTAATTTTTATTTTATCTTCGATGCGAAGCTGAGAAGGTATTGGTTTTACTATGATGTGTTTTATGTCTGTTGCCACTTTTTTTCAGCTCTCACTGAACCGATTTCTTTCAACGATATGTCAAAAGATCACCAATCGTATCTAGTCGAAGATATTACCCTCAAAAATTGAAAAAATTTCCCTCGTTCCCCGTAAATGAGGGAAACCTCCAAAAAAATTACAATTTTAAAAATCGTTAATGTTCGAAATTTTTTCAATTTTTTTTTCTTAAAACTGCCATGACTTTCAAAAATGAACATATCAATATAATTTGTTTTTATAGAAGCTTGATGTCTTTGCCTATCATTTGGTATATTTTTTTTATAAATTTAACCCTTTACCTGTCCACAGGAGGGGATTTAAAATGACAACTTTTTCAACTTAACTTTTGAAAGTATTCCGGAAAGTCTGACACTTTTATATATATCTTTTATTAAAGCTAATGTAATGTACTTTATTATGGAAAAAAAAAATTTGACCTCTGGACTTGTCTTCGTGGTGAAAATAGACATCAAAGTTAATAAAAAAAATACGATTTTTGTAAAATAATTCTTTTTTATATTTTGAACTTAATAATGCTATAACTTTTTGGAAAATGTATAAATTATAAATTATAGATAAATAATTTTTTTTTTTATATAGATGCTTGATGTCTTTACCTATCATTTGGTATATTTTTTTTATTAATCTGACCATGAATCTTTCATTCGACACACTTTATCTTAATCGGGATATTAATTAGGAAATAGCAGATCATGTAGCTTTTGGAATAATCCACCAATTTTTTAAAATTAAACACTAAAGATTTGCATTGAAGCGTTTTTTTTTTATAGTGATTTTAATCACTGTCAGATATCATACTTGATCCAACTATGCCACATCACCACTGCGCCACGGCCCACCTGTGTTGGGTTTTTGATTTTTATTTATGCCTTTTTAAGCACAGTACCTCTTAGGGCAAGTGCATTAAAGACTGCACTCTCAGTGGACGCCGCTTATAAGACTCACGGATATAGGGTTCAGTCGCTTAATAGACTCAAAGTCGTCTGGAACGTTCCAGACGTATCCAAATACATTATAAAAAATTCGATTATAAGACTCAAATTTTGTAAAAAAAAAAAATAGTAGAAAATGAAAATTCTTGGTTGAAATGTTGAAATAAATTGGTTTTTAATCACTCTCCTTGAGGAAGCACTTTAATGTGAGTCAACTTCGACTTTAAAGGCTAATAATGTAGCCATGAAAATTAACTATCTTAAGGCTTTACACTTAGCAAATGAATCATGGAATAATATACGTGATGTGACTGTACGAAATTGCTTTCGTCACGGAGACTTCATAAAAACTGAGGAAAAGGAAGAAGAGGATGAAGACAGGTCTATTGAGATGCAGGAAGACCTTACTGACTAAACATATGCAGATTGGTAAATATCGACAGTGATCTTCAAACTTCTGTAGAGTATTCTGAGGATCAAATTTGTCAGTCTATCGCAAATGAATCGACCAGCATCAGTGAAGAGAAAAATGACGAAGGTGATGACGATGAGGAAGAGGTTAAACCACCATCAAACAAAGAGGTTTTAAAGGCTCTAAAAGTGTTAAGGAAAACTGTTCATCACCGAGGTGTTAATTTTAATAAACAATATGAATATGAACAGTATATTTCTGGAATATTAGAACAATTCAAAACAAACCAAAATTACAATTTTTTAATAAATAATAAGTACGTAAATATATACATAATTTATAATTTTTTATTAATATGTATGTAATATTTTGTATTATACAGTGGCGCACCCGGGGGGGGGCTTTGGGGCTAAAGCCCCCCCCAAAAATATTTTTTGAATTAAATTATAAATTATTATAGCACATTGTCACAAATATAGTATTAAAATGATTTTTTTTCCAAATTTTATTATTATGTTAGATACATATAAATAGTTCAATAATACGTAATAAGGTTTGTGTTAATCGCCGAGCGCTTATTTTGTTGAAATTATTTTTAGATTTATTGGTATTAAGCCGGATTCCCACGACTGGCGTACTTGCCAAATATTTGTCACTTGTGTATACTTGTCAAGTCGTCGGAACACTATACTTGTACAATTATTGGTCACTTGTCAGTTTCCCGCGGATTGTCGGTAAATGTAACACAAGTCAAAGGAATTAATGGCTTGACAAGTTTACACTTGTAGTTCACTAGTGCACACTTGTGTACTTGTCAAATACTTATCCAATATTTGATTTTAGGGTGGCTATCGGTAACACAATTTTTTCTTCCCACTCACCTATATTTGTGCAGTACAGCGGTGGTTTATGTTGGCCTAATTAGTTGATTTAATTTAATAGATAAGTAAAACTATTTTATAGTATAATTGTAAATATAATTTAATAGTTAAGGTTGATTACATAATGTATTAATTATATAACTTATTAATTTATGAATATTAAATATAAAATAAATATTATTGGATAGTTTAATATTTTACTAAAATGTTTATAATTGTAAAATTCTGTTTCATTTTTGCAAGTAAAAAATTATATACTGTGCGTAGCTGAAACACTATTAGTTTTACTCTGTCGTATTTTTTTTCTTTAATTTTTAGGGATACTAACCTCCTCAAATTTGCTTTAATTGCTATTGTTGTTGGATACCGAAAACAAGATTAATACAATTTAGTACTGAGAAATATTTTATATTAATAGCATTTTCTATTTTATAAAGTTATATTAGAACTATGTGTGTGAAAATAGTTTTATTTCAAATTTCGATGGCTATAATTAAATAAAAATGAATTAATCGGCCAATTTTTTGTTTTTGCAACCAACACTGCTCATAGAAATTAAGTAAACTGATAACTCTTGACGTTTATATCAGTAAGTATCACCTGTGAGTAATCATAATAAGAATGCAAGCGAAAAATGAATATAGGTAGTAAATAAATAAAAGGCTTTACTAGAAATGCCAAATTATTAAAAAAAGTAGATAAGTGTATTAATGATATAAATTGAATGCATTTCGCTATCAAAACTCTATTTTGAAATGGTGGCTGTTCAATAGTTTGGTGAAGTTAAGTAAAACCTTCATCTAATTTTACGGTAACATAGTTTTACATTTTTTTTTTTTTTTATTTTTTTTTCAATTAATTGTTTGTACTTTAAGTACTCTCCACACATAATTATGTATGAAGCATAAATAGTCATTTTTCATTATCACTAGCCATTTTAATGAACTTAAGGTTAACTAAATAAATGAAACCTAAAAATTATAGGTAAATGTTAAAGAACTAACTTAACAAGAAAATATTAAACTAAAAGGTATCAAAACTAACAATACTAAAAAAAGAATTTTAAATCACTCACTAAAACGTTCAAACACTACAGCGCTAAAAAAGCAAATGATACACGACTTAATATTTTTCAGGTCCCACCCCCAATACAATTATTTGACATTTGATCCAGTCGTAGGAATAGTATACTTGGCTTTTATTTATTACTTGTACAAGTGTACAAGTACTGGTATACTTGTCAAGTATACCAGTCATGGGAACGCTCCACTTGTTAATAATTGGATGATTTGGCAAGTATACAATTATTGGTGTACTTGGCAAGTACATCAGTCGTGGGAATCCGGCTTTAGCGTATTCTAATTTCTAAGAACTAGTCAGCAGCGATTACGTTAGATAGACAGCCGTCGATTTGATCATTAACTACAATAACAATATTTATCATAATTGTAGACTATTTGACGCGTGAAATTTCGTTTGTTTAATTCAGTCCGTTTGATTTTGTCGTTGTGAACGTTGTATTGAATACGTATTTACTACTTTGAGTAAAAATCTGCAAAATGAGTCAAAAACGAAGCAAACCCGTTGGTACTTTACTTAACTTTATCAGTATTAAACCGAAAATTCCAAAAATTAATGATTTGCCCGATCCTCAAGAAATATTTGCTTCGCCGTCACAAACATCTAATACTACTGGTAATTATCAACATTTTTCTTCTTATGATATATCATTATTTGTCGATAAAAAACTCAACAACCAAGAAAAAATTCAAGTTTTGCAAAATGTTTGGGTCCCGAATAATAATTTTAATTTTCCAATTCAACAAATTGGTAACCAAAGTAGAAAATTCAATATACTTTGGTTAACTAAATACAAATGGCTAACATATTCAAAAATTGAAGATAGTGCTTTTTGTAAAGTTTGCGTATTATTTTCACCTTCTATGGCGGGTTACAGTTCCAATCAATCACTTCATACATTTGTTAAAAAGGGATTCAATAATTGGAAAAAGGGCTTAGAAAAATTTGAAAAACACGGTACTTTAAATTATCACAAGGAAGCTAATTTAAAAGCAGATAATTTTATGGATGTCATGTCAGGAAAAATTTTATCGATTGATAAACAAATCGATAAAGCTCATCACCATCAGGCTTTAGAAAATCAAGAAAAACTGAAACCGATAATAAAAACGATTATTTTGTGTGGAAGACAATGTCTGCCACTTAGGGCACATCGAGATTACGGAACGTTTAACGTAGAACAAGAACCTGAGTGCAACGAAGGTAATTTTCGAGCGTTGCTTAGGGCACGAATTGATTCTGGGGACAAAAATTTAAAACAACATTTAATGACTTGCGGAAAAAATTCAACGTATATTAGTTGGAATATTCAGAACCAAATAATTGATGCTTGTGATGAAATTATTTTATCTAAACTTGTAACTAAAGTTAATAGTGCTAAATGTTTTGCCGTACTCGCTGACGAAACGTCTGATATTTCCTCAATCGAACAATTCTCATTGTGTGTAAGATATATTGAGTGTATCGATGAAAACAATTTTAAAATAGTTGAACAATTTTTAAAATTTGTACCAGTAGAATCAACTTCGGGTCAAAATTTAGCAGATGTACTTTTAACAACATTAAATGCATGTGGTATCAACATAAATTATTTACGCGGACAAGGCTACGATGGAGCTGCAGCAATGAGTGGCAGATTTAAAGGTGTCCAAGCATGTATAACAGAAAAATATCCAACTGCACTCTATGTTCATTGTGTTTCACACAGCTTAAATTTGGCTTTATCTAATGCTGTTGATGTAATATCTATTAGGAATAGTTTTGGCGTAATAGAAAAAGTATACACGTTTTTTAATACACCAAAACGTCAAATTATTTTAAAAAATCAAATTCAAATTTTAGCTCCTGATATCAATAAAACTAAATTAGTGCAGTTTTGTCCAACTAGATGGGTTGAACGACACGATTCAATAATAGTATTCAATCAATTTTTATTACTTGTAGTGGCGGCTTTAGAAGAAATTCAACCGTGGAACTGTAAGGACTCATCATCTGGTGCATTTTTACTTTTAAATAGTATTCGCCAATCTACATTTATAATTTCATTACTTTGTTCAGAGAAATTATTAGCTTATACTTTACCAATAAGTAAAGTACTTCAAACGACAGATATAGATCTTTCTACTGCAGTTAACCAAGTAGGAAGTGTAGTGTCTATTCTCCATCGGCTTAGAAGTAACGCAGAAAATGAATTTAAGCTTTTATTTCTAGAAGCACAACAAATTGCCTCTAATTTAGACTTTACTCTATCCACACCTAGACTAACGAAACACCAAACTAAACGATCTAATGCACCATCAGAAAATATTGAAGAATACTATAGACGTTCAATTTTTGTTCCATGGATTGATTCGTTTCTTAATAGTCTGTCTGATCGATTTTTAAAACACAAAAATCTTCTCACAAGTTTTAAATGTCTTTTACCTACCGGACATACTCCAACCGATGAACAAATTTCAAGTTTTAAAAATCTTTTTGAATTTTATGAAAAAGATATGCAACATATTAGTTTTTCAGTCGCAAAGGCCGAATTCGAATTGTGGTACGAAAAATTCAAAAATGGTTGCTATACTTTACCGCTAAACGCAATCGATGGTTTAAATTTATGTGATTTAAAAGTATTTGAATCAGTATTTATACTTTTGAAAATATTTGCAACGTTACCAGTAAGTACAAGTACGGCTGAGAGATCATTTTCCACGCTACGGCGAATCAAAACCTACCTCAGAAATACTATGGGACAGTCACGATTAAATGGACTGGCAAATCTTCACATACATCGAGAAATACAAATTAAAGAATCCGAAGTATTAGAAGTTCTATCTGAAAAGGGACCCAGAAAAATTAAATTTTAAACTAATTTGTCATAATATTTTATTGAAAATATTAAAAACAGTATACTATATAATTTGTGGTAATAATAATAATAAAAATGTTTAAAAATGAGTAGTAATTGCTTTCCATTGTGTGTAAGGAAAATGTTTTAGCCCCCCCCAAAAAAAAATCCTGGGTGCGCGCCTGGTATTATAATATAATTTTAATTTTTAATTATACTTTGTTCGTTTAGTTACTAATAAATATTAAGTAATACGTGTATAATATGTATGTATTTAAGTAAATTAAAATAAAACAAAATATGCTGTAAAAAAATTTCATAAATATTTTGTTTTTTCCAACTTCGCCTATAAGATTCATTCGGTTATATGACTCACTTTGTGCTGGTCCCATAGTGAGTCTTATAAGCGGCATCCACTGTATATATTTTTTTAGCAAACATTTTTTTATTTAAATGGTTATATAATGATTATTCAAATTAAAAAATATAAACAATATATTATGTTGTGTAAAACAATTTCTTATCATGTAAATTTCTTGGACATTATTAAATATTTATAGTTTTCTCCTTTTTCTTTCAACATTCATTTCTATAACTGTTCTTTTAGCTTCCGATTCCTCTCTCCTCATAATATAACCAAAATGTTATGGTTATGTTATGAAAATATATTATAGAAAATTAAGTCTATTTCTTTCATTCACCATTGACGCCATATCTATACTCCCTCTTATATGACCGTTCCTTTCCTATCTTTTTTAGTCACTCCACTCATCCATCTAAGCATTTTCATTTCTGGTATACTCATTCTTTGATCTACTCTCTTGTCAACCGCCCAAAACTCTGAAACATATATCATAACTCCATTGTCCACTTTCCAGGCAAACAACTTAACTGGTTCTTTGTTACTGATGTTTATCCTCTTATTCTTTTGTCTATTATTACCTTTTCCCAAATTTTCATACTATGACTTATCGCTTTATGCCTTTATAATTCTCACGCTCTTGTATATCTCCTTTGCCTTTAAATATCGGCATCACAATACTATTCCTCCATTCTTTTGGTATTTTTCCTTCTAATTGGATTTTATTAAAAAGATCCTTCAACATTATGTCAACACCGCCTAATATTTTCTACACTTCATCGGATCCTACTGCTTTATTCTTTTTCATACTTGATACAAGAATCCCCTAGTTATAAAAGTGTGTAACAAGACTTTTTTAGAGGGTGACTAAAGACGTATTTATAAAAGACTTAAACTAGAATCCTACCTAAATTTATATAAAATTGTTTATTGTATTATACAAAAGAGGTAAAAAAAAAATTATGTATACATAAAATGAAGAGATTATAATTATAACATTTTATAGGTGTTTTGAAGGAGATCAATCGGATGAAGGGGATACATCACCGAGGTGTCACGCTAGTCGCCACTTTTTTAACAACTAAAACTAAAACTATAACCAGAATTTTAAACCAGTGTAAAATTTCAACTTTGCATGACAAGAAATTTAACAGCTAGATTATTATCAAATTGACTAAAAGAATTTCGAATAGAAAAAATCATTAAAAATATTATTATAATAAAATAACATTATGTTAAACATAATATATTTTTAGGTTACCCAGAAATAAGTTTTTATTAGACGTATTCACATGGCTGTCCTAAAAGAGACATCGGGGGTGTCAATGACAATTAGGGGAATGACACAGTGTCCTACTCTCTTATTTGTTATAATTTAATCGTTGCAGTCGGTAATTTTTATCAACTAATTTTATTGTAATATAAGAGGATGCTAACAAAAATAATTATTCAATCAAGAAATATATGAATTTTTTTCTCCCTATATTTTTAGATTCGAGACGGCCCTACATATTCATAGGTAACAGAAAATTAAAAAACGTGAAGTAATAACATAAATTAAATACATAATGTGTATTTAATCTATGGTACTATACTCTATTTTGGTTTAAGCTTAATATGTTGTGATAATTACATGACTAAATTAAAAATATATAAAACATTTTACTTATAAAGAATCATTCATAGCATTATGCGCGTTAATAATATACTGTCTGACAAAAATTAATGATCAGTAATTAGAACCTAATGATCCTGTCTTAAAAATTTAGTAACATTAGGAAACAATACCATCTATACCTATTTATCAATCAGCTGTTGTACTAAATTAATCAAATTTGTTGACGTCATAGTATTGATTGTACCTTGTGATAAACAAGTCGCAAGAGTTTGAATAATTTAATTACTGATCAAAACATAATGTATAATCATTTAGCTTAAGTGTTTGTTTTATTGTTTGATTTTACTCATTTTGTTAAATTTTATTCCTCGACAAGATGGTTCAAGAATATCAGTCTCCTGTTCGTGTTTATAAATATCCCTTCGAAATAGTTATGGCTGTAAGTAAACTCTTTTGTTAGATTTGTGATTTTCTTATATTCACTTGAAAAATTTATTATAGGCTTATGAAAGAAGGTTCCCCACTTCACATTTAATACCAGTATTTGTTGGAAGTGAAGTAACTGCTGATTCTACCTCATCGGATGGTTCTATTAGGACAACAGAAAGACGATGTAAACTTGTAGTTGAAGCCCCTTATCTTATTAAAAAAGTAAACATTTCTATTCATTATTAATAAAATATTTAAAAAAATAACTATTATTACAACAAGTTTTTTACAAATTATTTGATAAATATTTGTATTTTCATATTTTACTAGCATAATGAACTCTTCATTTTTCAAGTTAATCTTAACAATTTTTTTGTATGATACTAACTTTATTGATTGATGATTAGATAGTAATTTATTATTTGTTCAATATTGTTTATACTATATTATTAATTATACATTTAAATAGATTATTGGTGTAGACTTTGTATACTTTATACAGAAAAACATTTTAAATATGAGAGAACGTTATTTAAATATTGAAGCAACAAATGAAACTTTTTCAAATCGAGTTCATGTTCTAGAAACATGCCGTTATTATGTAAGTCAGTAAATCATTACATGTTTTTATTTTAATTATTATGATATAATTATTTTTTGATTAAGGTTCATCCAGAAAATTCAGAATGGACTTGTTATGAACAAAGTGCTCTATTAGATATTAAACATTTTTTGGGTTTTGAGCATACTATGGAAAAATTAGGTATGAAACAATACATCCACAATATTTCTAAAGGTAAAGAAATTATAGAATATTATATTGATGAATTGAAAAAAGAAGGAATTACTAGTGTTCCTCGATGGGTATCTAATGGAGATGATCAACTTTGGTAATTAAAATCTTCTATAATAATAATTAGTTAGTATTACCTCAAATATTTTTTACTAGTTACCTTAATAGGTATATTAAGGGAGATGAGTTTATTAAGGCACTTCATTTCAATAGTTTTCTATAAAAAAAAATTATGTTAATAGAATTATTAAGACATTTAAATCATAAGAGGTTTGAATGAGTCTACAATTTTTTTTCATTGTTTTATGTATTAATAAAAATGTTATTAATTAGTGTGAAGTTATCAGAAATCAATCAAGTCAGTATATGTAAAGATAGTCCTACAAATTCAGGTAAATATAATTATTAATATCATTAAATAAAATATTGTATTGTAAATATTCATGTCTTCATAAAAGCTTTTATATATTCAGCTTGACATAGTATTTTGTATTACTTTATATTACTAACTTCTTTTATGTATAAATAACAATAAGAGTACAGTAAATGATGCAAAAGTTTATTTTAGATCCTATATTAATAATCCTGTACAATATTTTTAATATCGCTAATTAAAATGTTAGTATTATAAATAATGCATACTATTTGTTTACCTTCCAGTTGTACTTAACAGCTGTTTACACAATTATGTTTTTACATGGAGATTATTTAATAAAGCATACAATTATTTTCCTTAAAATAATAATTTTATGTACATTTTTTTTTGGCTTTTTATTAATTACACATTTATTATATTTATTTCTTGTATGTTATAAGAGCGTTAACTTAATTTTTTTAAGTAGTAACATACATAATTAATTAGCTTATAAAATAGAGAATAATATAACTAAAAAAATGACTGTTGATAACAACTTTTGGACAGTATATTAGAAGTTATTAACATTTGTATACCTAGGTGAGAGGATGAAACTTATATGCTATTATAGCATTTGAAATATTTTTTAATTTAAATTATTAGTGAATTTTATATTTCTTTTTGCAATTTGTCTTGTTTTAGATACTCAATCAAAGATATGGTTAGAAGATGAATATATTAAAAGATACATAGGTGAATTGACACCTTTCCAAGAATCAAAATTAGTTCAATTTAAGAAACAATTATCTCAATTACAAAAATCTAAAGTGAGTTTTTTATGTGTATAATTTTGTATATATACTGACGTAAATCAAAAAAGATTTATTTAATTCTTTATGCTGATTATCAATCATTGTTTGTATTACAGTTACCTAGTGATACAACTTTATTACGATTTTTAAGAGCTACAGATTTCAACATTGAAAAAGCTAGGGAAAATCTATTACAGTCACTTTCATGGCGTAAAAAGCATAATATTGACAATATTTTATCAGAACATGAATTCCCTGAAGTAGTCAAAACATATTTTCCTTGTGGTTGGCATTATTATGACAAAGGTAAACTAATTTTTAATAATATATTCAAAAATTTATACATCTTTAATGTGGTATATGTAACTGTTTCAACATCATTAACTTATTAAATTTAAATTATGTAGACACTTTTATCTTGTTTTAAATTATACTGGTTGTTAACAATGAAGTTTTAAAAACGCATTCTTAGTTTTATTAATTTCTTTGGGTTATTAGCTGATAATTTATTATGTTAAAAGAGAAATTTTATTTGGTTATCTTTTATTAAAAAATTAATTAAATTTTTTAGAAGGACGGCCATTATATATTTTACGATTAGGACAAATGGATGTCAAAGGTCTATTAAAATCTGTTGGTGAAGATTGTCTGTTAAAACAAGTAAATTAATAGTTAATCCTTATGTAACTTATTTTAATTGTCTTTCACTAAATTTTAAGGCTATGCATATTTGCGAAGAAGGTTTAAAGTTAACAAAAGAAGCTACACATACATCAGGCAAACCTATTACTACTTGGTGTTTATTGGTTGATTTAGAAGGTTTAAATATAAGACACTTATGGCGACCTGGTGTAAGTGCATTACTTAGAATAATTGAAATTGTTGAATCAAATTATCCAGAAACTTTAGGAACAATGCTTATTATACGGGCACCACGAGTATTTCCAGTGTTATGGACTTTAGTGAGCACTTTTATTAGTAAGAAAAATTTTAACTATAAAGCATAATAATAACTAGTATGGCTCAATATTCTTTTAAATTTTTTTTTGAACTAGATGAAACTACTCGAACTAAATTTTTGTTTTATGGAGGTAATGACTATCAAGCATCTGGGGGTCTTGATGAGTTTATTTCTTCTGAATACATGCCAGATTTTCTTGGGGGTAAATGCATAGTAAGTCATTTGAAACTATAATATTTATATATTTTTATTGTATATTATTATATAACAAAAATGTAATGATTTAGTCAAAAATTCCTGAAGGAGGTTTCGTGCCAAAAACATTATATTTAAAAGATGGAGATTTAGAAAAAGAAGCATGTACAATTACAGATGAGAGTATTTATGAATCTGTAACCCTAACAAAAGGACAGGTAATTTGAATCCATCTTTAATTTAAAAACCAAGTAATTATTAATATTTTTTTCATATTCCAGTCTCATGAAGTATTTGTTGAAGTTGAAGAATCTGGATCTATAATAACATGGGATTTTGATGTTATGCGTCAGGATATCAGTTTTAATGTATTACTGCTTCTTATAGAAGTTCAACCATCTACTCTTCTAAGTTGTACTAGGGGTAAATATGTAGCTATATGTTAAAAAATATTTTTATCCAGGCTATTTTATATGTAGGCAATCTTAATACAATGGAAAAAGGATGGAAAGAAGGTGAACATTATGAAAAAGTTGAACAGACTATCATATGTCATGATGGTGAAAGTATTCAAGGTTCACATCTTGTATCTAAAAGTGGAACATATGTCTTGCAATGGTATTGGTCATCAGAAAATACTAATGCTACTATTGGGTATCATACTAAAGCTAAAATAATGTACTATTATGAAATGTTAAAATCTGCTGATTATAGGTCAGTAAAATCATGATTTACATTTAAATATTAACAATAAAAAATTTTAATTACAATATTACTTTTATTTAACTCAATAGAGGATCAATGTCTAGTTTAATGTCAGCAAACAGCAAATTTTCTAGTCTAAGTAACAGATGATAGAAAAAAAGATATAGTTACATATATTTATAGATAGTTATTTTAAAAACGAATTTTCAATGGAATTGATAAGGACCATACATAAAAAAATTACTGTTCATTACTCTCTTAAAGAAAGTAAAGACTGGAAAGTATGAAAAAAATATATTAGGTTTATTTTATTTTTTTATTATTTATTTAAATTTTAATATTACTTTAATACATTTTTTAATTTATTTAAGTTAATTATTCATGTATTCATGTATTCATGACTTAGTATACTTTTTTTTTATTCACTAATTAATTGACAAATTATTTAATTATATTATATTTATCTTAGTCTTTCTTGTATGGTCCTTCTGGACAATATTAATTTTATTGTAGATTCTTATTATACAGAATGTTCAGTAAGTAAGGAAACAGGTAAATTGTTATAAACAATGAGAACAATAGAAACCCATTTCCTTACTTACTGAACGCTCTATATAATTTCTAAGGTAATCATAAATGTCAGTTATCTTAATATCTAGTGTATTGTTTATTAATTTAAGATATTAACAAAATCTCAACAATTATCATGTATTTTATTTGAATATATATATATATATATATATATATATATATATACAAGAAAATTATTTTATTATAAATTACTTATTAAGTCGAAAAATAAAAATGGTATTGATAATTTTTTTTTAGTGATATATTTTCTTTCATAATACCTTATAAGGGATGGATATAAAAAATACTACATAATTATTAATTAAAACAAGTATGTCACAAAAAAAAAAAACCCAAAACAATTATCAATATGAATTTTATTTTTTGACTTAATAAGTGGTCTATGATAAAAGAATCATTCTGTATATATATATTAAATTTTAGTCAATTTTTTTTACTTATGTATTCATTTATATTTTATTTTTATGTCTGTGATTAATTGGCATTTTATGATCTTTATTTTAGTATAATATTTTTGTTAAGTTTATGTGAATCTTTTAAATTTCTTTAGTCATCATTTTAAACATCTCAAATTCAATTAATCTCATATTATTCTAGTGTAACTAATGTCAATTGAATTGTTTTTTTATTGTGATACAGTATAAATGCCATTTTATAATATATTGAACTTATTGTTGTGTTTTATAAATGATATACTTGGATATCATAAAAGTACTTGATATATTGTATCTTAATAAAAAATCTATCTAAACTTCAAATTCTGTTCTATTTCATATATTTTTGGTGTAAAAATAATTATTAAAGTAAGTTTATTTTTGTTGAAGGCGTGTTTTAAAATTTTATTTATAAATTTTCCTATTTATTCAATACTATGAAATAATTCGATTAATGTTATTTTTCGTGAAATTTCACCATCAATAATATAATATTGACACAGTTAATATATCTAATGTTATTAAATTAATAACTACTTTGATGTATGGGTTGGTATCAATTGGAATACATGAACACTCAACTTAAGCGAGCATTCAATAATTTTAATTAAATTAAATTTGTATTTGATAAATGAACGTTTTGAGTTTTAATTCATGTATACCATTAGTTAAATTTAAATTTCCAATGATCATATATTAATGTATTTCTCAATGTAATAATCAAAGTTAAGTAAGTTGAATATAGATTCATCCAAAATTTTACAGCTTAGTAAATATTTATCACGTTATTTAATAATAAATTGCAGTTCAAAACAGATGTTACTAAAATTAATGTAAATGAATATATAGGTATTGTGCAGTTTCCTGGGTTTGATCTTTTTTGAAATAAATAGTTTATTTACCGTATATTTGAAAACACATCAATCAATAGTATGTGTACAATTGGTATATATTGAAGTGGTTCAATTCAAATGTTTTTTTGAATATTGTATACGCCAATAATAATTTTAAAAATGATAATAGCGATACATGTCATTTAACAATAATGTGTTAAAATTGTTTCTTATTCCTATTTATCTCTATTAATAATTGCTGTTTTTATGTCTTGTTCTATTGGCTGTATAATTTTTAAATTTTTTATTGATCTAATTTAGATTAATTGAACAAATTTATCTCAATATAATCACTACCCTAACGTTAAGATATTAGGGAAATAATACATGGATAATACAGCTTTAGATTTTTTTAAAATTCATATTTAATAAAATGAATATTAAATTATTAATTTACAATCAGCGACAGTTATTTATTGTGACAACGAAATTAAAAAGTGGGTGTTTAATACCCATCTTCATTATTATAAGATCACTCTCAATAATTTTTTATATAAATGATCGAAAGAGTTAAAATATGATCTTGATGACTCAATAATATAAGTCTTTGAAGTAAATATTACTATAATTCAGCTTTTGTTAAATTTGAAATGTACGTCTGACATAACTACAATATTATTTTTTATTTTCTAATAAATTATAATTTCTCTTCAACATAAATTTATAGAATTTTAATTTGAAAAAGAGTTTTAAAATCCACTTAATGTGAGTACTGTAATTATATTAAATTAAATTTTTTCTGTAAAGTAATATTTAATGACCAATTTAGAGTCATTTTTTTTATTTTAATTCTTGTGTTTGATATACTTTAAGGTAAAAAAAAAATGTGATACAAACAAAGTCGTTTCTTCCATGGTCATTGTGTTAGTTGAGGCGGTGAAAACAGTAGCGCCGACCATTTTGTTTTTCTTTAAAAAAACAAATCCCGCACGCCTACATAGAATGGTTAGGAAATCGGGAGACATTAGGTACTATAGTAGTAATCTCAACATTTATGCGCAGTGCTAACTTTTTTTACGTCAAATAGTTCGCTAGTAGTTATAGGACATAGTGACGTCATTCAACGTAAAATTACAACGAATCGAAATAAAGAACTCGCCTTGCCGGTAGCTTCCCCGGGATTCGTTCGCTGTCGGCAACGGGGCTCAGTGGAATACAACTACAGAGTAGGTGAACATCAGGCAGGAGTTCGCGTTGGGGTAAATTTTTTCCATCTTTAACATCCATCGTTCGGCCACCGTCTGAACATCTAAATGGCGGAACAAGTTGGCGTAGAGAGGAGGGCGGAACGACAAAAATCCGTTCCTCAAAAGCCGGTCATATGTAAGTACATTGTTATATTAAAAATATAAAAAATTATATCGTCTTTCTATTGTAAAATACATAATGGTCGTCGCCATTGATTAGTTCACGTGCTTTGTTTGGTTTTTGACCAAATAGTTCCAGTTGACAACAATATATTTTTGATTGTCAATTATCCACTATTTAAATTTTTTTTAAACTTAAATGGTTCAAACTATTTAGGCGGGCTACAGCGCGATAATAGTAAAAGTAACTGTTGCCGGTTTTTTTTCATGAGTTCCCCCGTACACACAAGTAGATATTAAAAATACGTACTCCCGCCGCGGTTTCTAGCCACTGATTTATTTAAGCCTTATTTCATTCTTCTTATTGTTATTGTTTATTTATTTCGACACGTTTTTATATGAGTATCAAGAGTTGATAATATGGTGTAATGCTATTATACATCTTGTGAGTGTTTATATAGTATATGAAAATAGTATTTGTAATATTATCGTACCTACTTAGGCAGATAAATGTCACTAATAGCCATTGCTTTTGTTTATTAATGTCATAAAACCAAGAGTAATAGACAATTGAAAAGCTGATATCTTAAATTATATTTTCAAGATAAAGTAGTGATATTCTTAAAATAGACCACCATTTTCATTATCCCTCTGCATAATGTGACTCCAAATTTAATAATTTTTTAATAGCCAACTTAATTTAATTAAAATTTTTTTAGCTGTTAAAGTGACTGGTATTGTTAAATGGTTTAACGTCAAAAGTGGCTATGGTTTTATCAACCGGTAAGTTATATTTCCTAATTTTCTTTGTATTTAGCTTCATTTGAATGATAATTTTAAATATTGCAGAGATTATATTTGGTGCAATTATAATATATTTTTATTGTACAAATATTTTGTCTTAATCAAAATAAATGAAATAAATTTAAGATTCCTTGTATTATATAATATGTAAAATATGTCAAGTTTGCTTTAAAATATTCAATAATGAGTATTTAATTATATTCCTGACATTACAGTCTCAATAATATAACCAAATGTATTTTTTTTTTTTTAGAAATGACACCAAAGAAGATATATTTGTTCATCAAGTAATAAAATTTTAATAAATTATTTTTAATTGCTCTAAATATTATTATATTCTTATTCATGTTCATATTGAAGGGTTCGGCCTAGTAGGTAAAAATATATGTTTCAGTGCTTGGGGTCTCGTGTTTGATCTCCAGGGTGCCAACAAGATTTTTCTTGTGATTTTTTCCCTGATTGTATTTAATATCTGGTGCAAGCCAGCTATCATATTCATCTATCCATCATTGGTTTAGCCAAGATCTATTTTGGCTAGGTAGTTTCTCTAACATGAGAGGGCCAACACCTTTTGTAACATGTTAATATTCAAGAATTAGAAGGATGTAAAACTGATCATTATTATTCATATGCATATTGATGTTTTTTTTTTAGTCTGCTATTATTAAGAACAACCCCAAGAAAGTTGTTCGTAGTGTTGGAGATGGAGAAACTGTAGAATTTGATGTGGTTGAAGGTGAAAAAGGACATGAAGCTGCGAATGTAACTGGACCTGATGGTGAAGCTGTCAAAGGATCTCCATATGCTGCTGAAAGAAGAAGAAATAACTACCGTCAATGGTTTTATGGACGTCGTCCAAATCCTCGTGGTAGAAATGGTCAACCTAGAGATGGTAGTGCTGGTGGTAAGATTCATTTTTTAGTTAAGGCACTTATTATTGTGTTTCTATCTAAGTAATGATATTAAGTAAATTCATAAGTTTTTTTATCATTCAAATTATTTTATAATAGGTGATAAAGAAGAAGGTGATAATGAAGTAGGTGAACAACCCAGACGCTATCCGCCTAGACAACCTAGACAACAAAACTGGTATAATAGCTACCGTGGAAATAGAAGAGGAGGTCCACCTAATAGAGGAGATGGTGGAGATTACAACGTAAAAAATTATTATTATGTTTAATAATATTCATATTTGATTTTTCTTTTTTATCAATTTTACTTCAGGGAGAAAACTACGGATATGATAGTTCTCCTCCTGGAAGAGGTAGAGGACGTGGTATGGGTGCTCCCAGACGCTTTTTCCGTCGAGGAGGCTTTAGAGGAGGTCGTGGAGGTGGTGGTTCTGCAGGTCCTCGTCGACCTTATCATGATGATAATAATCAGGTAATAAAAATTTGTATATCCTCATTTTATTTTACTTAAATTAGTTTTATGAATAAATCCTATTTATTGAAATATTCAGGATAATGAATATAACCAAAATGATGATGGAAGTAACAGACCCCGTCCCCGCTATCGTCGTCGTAACAACCAATCAAGAGCACGAAGTGATGGACCTCAAAGAGCTAATAGTCAAAGTGACAATGATACTAAACAAAAAGTAAACTAAACTTCTTTGCTTTATATTTATAAAATGTGGATTAATTTTTAAAATAAATAAGTTCAAAATTGACTTGTAACACATTGAAAATGTGTTTTTATTTGTTCCTTGATAATTGTACAAGTTAAAAACTGCTACTTAAAATATTTTATTATGAAATTGCTGAGATTACTTGTTTTTAATTCTTCAGTTCAATTAAAAAACTTTCCATCTCCAAAATCCTAAGTGCTGTTATAGTTTGCCTCAATATTTTGTTGAATTAATTTGATAAAACATTTTCAGTGTAGTGTCATGGTTTAAATTTATTGATTGTTGATCCAATTATTTGATGACATTAATGTTAGTGTTGCTAATCTAACATGTGCTATATTGATTTAAAGACTTAATAAAAGTTACATCAATGGTAACTTGTACTTATTTCATTCTGCCTTGCACCTCTATTATTTTTCTACCTATCTTTAAAATTTGTATTCATTATTTCTATAATGTTTTTACTTACAGAACTTTGGAGGAGAATCATTGGAACTGGAAGACCACAGCACTGCTTAACATCCTCATAATTTGCGAACAGTTAATTTATCATAGAATCTTGTTTTATTTTTCTCTTACGCATTTGTGTTTTACATGTAATCTAATCTTGGACGTTTTTCTTTTTTGTTCCATTTTGCCATGATTATGACTTATACAAGTTCTACAATAATCAATTTGATTAATTTGATTGCCTACATATTTTGATATGTTTTAACTTTTCTTTATTTTAATCCAATCAACATCTGGATTTTTAATCATTATCTTGCTTGATTGAAACTGAATCATACATCTTTAAAAATACTTTGCATGATAATTTTCCTAATTAATTTTTTTATAATCATCACAATAATAAGTTTTTATAAAACAAAAATTTGTTAAAATATTCAAGAATTGAATAATAATATTTTAGATAAGCAATGTGTGCATTATTTGAAAAATGTTCGAAATATATATATTTGTATAATATCGTAACATTTTTTAATTTTAATAACTAAACGAATGTTCTATGAATAACTAAAAGACAAAATAAAATTTATATTGTTATGATAATTTGTAATACAATGTATTGCAATACATACTATACAAACTAGAATGTTCTTGTAGATAAAATATAAACTCCTTTTTTACTTGTCTATATTTTTTTAATTGAGTAGTAAAGATATTATTTTAGGATTATAAATAGTGTATTTCGTTTTTTTCAATGTATTTAAAATTTTTATGGTTTTGATACATTTTTTTATAACAGATTCATTGTAATTTATGTATTTTTTTATATTTTGAACACCTGAATATTGCTGGTATTGTTTAAATACACCCATCTGTCAAGTTAGGGTGTATTGAAATTAAAATCTGAGTTTTATAATATTGCACTAATTTTTCAAATTATAGTTAAAAAAAAACTTGGTATACATTTATTAATAGAGATTACTGTGATGTGATTTTTTAAAATAATATTAATAAAAGAAACTAATATATAATCTTAACTCGTATATTTAAGAAATTTCGTTTTTGATAAACTATGGGATAATCGTACAGTTACAGCTTCGTTTAATACAAAATAATTATTGAATATTATTTATTTAAAAGGTCAATTAATATTTTTTTACTTTTCTTCTTAACTTACGCATAATAAAGTGTTAATTACAATAGTAATTTTATGAATAAAATGCAGCGAAAACTCATTTTTGCAAAATGTACGTATTTGAGCTTTTATTAGTTTTATTCCTAAGGATAAATAAGATATCTTAGGATATTTATATAAAAAATATATTAAATTGCATTTAATACAGAGTTGTTGGCAGTAGTGTAATTATGATGTCGCATTTGAAAAAATCTATTAACAAGTATAATTTTGCTACTACTATAAATATTTAATGTTGTCGATAATACATTTTTGTTTTACCTGGAATGGTAGTAAAAATGTGAATAAATAGCCAAATTATAAATCGATGTATAATTTTTCTTGTAAAAAATTGTGTAAGCAATATAGATGGTTTTCTGTAATAATTATAACTATTTTGTATATAGTTAAAATATTTGAATTTAATGAGTCTATTCAAGTGTGTAAATTTTTTTAAAACCTTATGCTTTGCTTCTCTACATTATAAAATAAAAATTTAGCATTGATCAGAAGAGTTCAAAAACACCGATTGTTTCTCAGGTAAATTCAACTATATTGTGAACCCTAAAATCTAAAATTTTAGGTTGGTAATAACCATTAATTTTGAGATAGTGAATATTTTACAACATGTAAGTTTAAATTATACGCTTAGTCGCAAAAGTTTACAGGGTATATTATGGAAACTTAACAAAATATGATTTGCCAAACAAATTATTTTATGTTTTCCCCATTATGATTTTTAAACGCACCTTTGTAATAATATTAATATTGTATTTTTAATATAACTTGGTTAACAATTCAAATGGTTATAAGTTACTAAGATTTAGCGTGCAGTTACAAAAGATCTAATAACATAGACAAGTAGGATCTCTTCACTCTACAGGTGTATATTTTTTTTTTTTTTGGCGAACTTATAATTAATTTTACATAAATTTAACTTTTAACTCTTAAAGCCAATAAATAAAATCTAAAAATTCCATAGCGTAATAGTTTATACAATTTAGACAAATTGAATTTACGTTTGGTAATAAATAATTAATAATAATGTTTTACCTACAGATTACACATTCTTCGTTCAAAAATAACATTACTAATGACCAGATCTTTATTTTACAGTATAAAATAACATCTTATTTGAAATATATATATGTATAAAAATGGTTTATAACAACAATGCGTCTAAACACTATCACTATATAAAATTAAATAGCTAAAGAGTTTTTTTATTTTTAACCTACACAAGAATAAATAAGACCTAAGTATTCTTAATAACAAATGTTCTATAAGTGTAGAAGAAGGAAATGAATATAGTAATATAGCAGTTGAAGCTTATTGGAGTGTTTACAATAATTTATAAAATGTAATGATAGTTATAAATTAATAAGGCTTGTTGTTCCTGATGTAAGCTTTTTTCCGGTGCTCGTGCCGATGACATTTGCCCCACCATGTTTTCTTTGTGCATACTCGCACCCGTTTTAGGATGAAACATTTTGTCTGGACCACGTTGAAGAACAACTTGCCAATTAAATTTGCAGATCCAGTACCGACCATTTTCAAACACGACCGGAACCTACAACAGGTTTAATATGTTTTACTTATACACTATCAAGACATTTATATAATAATTGCATTTTAACGAAGATTTTTAACCTTTGAAAGTACTTTATCCAAAGAAATGTTTCTATGTATATATATAACATAGCTTTATTTTTAATTAGTGATTTAAGATAAGTGACAATTCGGAGATTTCTATTAAAAAACCTATTTACTTTTGACCTTAGTAGTAAAGTGCGTTAACAGTTCAGCAGTTATGAAAACTTTAAAAGTGGCAAATTAGACAAAAAAAACTTAACTTCTTATCGTTTTAATTTAAAGTGCTTAAACAATCGAAACATTATTTTTTAATACACTTTACTTCATTAGTTTTTAAGATGATTGAAGTTGTCCACGAGTAAAATCAATGATTTAACGTTGATTTTTTTAACCCATATCAATAAAATTATAATTTTTTTGTGGAAAACTTGTAATAGTTAATTTTTGTCAATGATAGTAAATATGATTACTTTATATAATTACCGGTATATTCAAATAGATCTTGTATTAAATCAAATGTCTTGTTGTACAATTAACAAAATTACAGTCAAAAGTGACATCTTATTAAATACATTTCATATTCAAGGATACAATTTATTTATACTTATTACTTGATTCAAGAACGTCCAGTAATTGATAGCAATGTATGTAATAATAAAATACGCATAATATTTAAACTATACAATTAAATAGATGTTCATTATTCTAACTCGATATACACGGTTTCAATAATTTGACATTGGAATCTGGTTGAAGACTTTAAAATATATATTTTTTTATCTATTATTGATTACTTAACTTTTTTTTTCGTTAATTTTTAATTAAAAAATGTTTTATGAAAATTTTCATTCAATTTTTTTATTCTCTTAAATTACTAGGATTCGACGTGTAATAAATTGTATAAATAAAATTTATGGTACAGTATTATAATCATTAAATGTAATCACCACAGAAGATCAAAGATCAAGGGTGTGTGTAAACATTACCAGACGTATATTTTGTTCTACCCGATTAAACTTGCCCCATTAACATAAACCATGTTTTCAATTAATTAATTTATTAAATTTTCAATTTTACCAATTGTTTAGCTTAAGTCAATTAATTTTCTTAGTGTTGAAATTGTTGTTGAATTATTATTGAATCATTAACTATTGTTACTTTGTTCCAAGTCTCATCGTTTTGAATGATACTTATAATTTATGAGAGGTAAACCTAGGCGAGTGCCTAGAGTGAAAAATGTTTATCTAGCGATTACAGAGATTGTTCTGAGATTTCATTTTAACAGTGCAGATTAAACTCCTATGAACAATAAAAGTGATACATTTTTTTGGCGAATCTCTTACAAATCTACAAATCTTAAAAATAAGAATCAATTTGAAAAATCTATCACCTTAAGTTTTTAGACAAAATTATGGGCCAATTTATGAATCTGCATATTTATTTTAGTATTCTCAAATCGAATTAAATAATTTGAAACATTGATCAATACTTTTGATACCTTATAGTTACGTCTAAGGATATAGCTTAACATTATTTTATGATGTCCTCTATTTACAATATCATGTAAAAGTATAACAAATGTAATACTTTACAAGTGTTATGATATTTTATTATTTCTTTTCAATGATATCGATATCTTCTGACAAACGAACAAAACATTCATACGTTTCCACATAAGGTACGTTGAACTTGTCATGATTTGTAATTCTGTTTTTATTTTTTTTTATCATTGTAACAGATTGAACAATAGTTGGTAACTATAAAAGTATAAAGGTTAACAATCTCAAAATAAATGATATGAAAGCCACACGCTTTGAACTTTTAAAAGATAATGTTCAAGAAATATTTATGTATGTTTATTAACAAGTGTTGAAGTCGTCAATAAATGAATTAGGAAATATTTGTTGCCTTTTATGTTAACTTGATGTTAGAAGTACAACTTTTATAATTAAAATCAAAGTAGATATGTTTAACCCTGAATATTACAATTATTGTATTAGTTACATTCCCTTTTAATAAAATCTATCGTTAATTTTTTGTATTCACTTCCGTTTTATTATAACTCGTTCTTTATTTTGGCTACAAATATTATGTTTTATACATTTAAATGCGTATTTTGATTTTAACATTTAAATATTAGTATATAGGTTAACTATGGAGATTCAAATAAGAACCAAACATTTTTGTTTCATTATTATTTTTTATTTTTGTCTAAGTATGATTTTTCGTACGTTTATCAATTAAAATACTTTGTTTTAATATTATGTTAAAGTAGTTTTTTATTTCATTTTATTCACTGTATAGTACAGATACAAACCCAATAAATTTGTTAGTCTATTGTCTACAACACAAAACAATTCAATTATGCTGACAGTATATATATATATATATATATATTATATGTTATTAGTTTATGTAAACTTGTTCATACTTCTTCGATCCTCGTAAAATGGTAATTTTAAATGGTAGACTAACAAATGTACCGAGGAAAAAAAATCGGTTGGTATGAGAACACTTAGAACCTGTATGATGGTGTATAGATCAATCTTTGACTGACTTATGTACTGTGTTTGGCCGTTATCTGGTCATTGATTTACTCAATCGTTTGTTTAGACAATTACAACGTTAAAACAACAAAAATAAAACTGGATTTCGGTTCTAGTAATCTGGAAAACAATTATTATGATGTGTAAAAAATGGAAATTTAATCCGATTACAATATACAATATTGTAGAATCGCTCTAAGAAACGAAACTTTATTTAAAATTTTCTAGTTCAAATCAGATCTTCAATCCAAATGATTGATGAGTAAATGGTTTGAACAGATAGACAACTGATCGTTGGCGGAGTCAGATTCATTTCATACAGTGGGTTGATTGAAATGTGATTGTAAGTGGTAGCGGTGAATATTATTATACAACAAATTGTTGATTATATTTGAACAATGTTAACAACTAATACATCTCTCAGGTTGATTCATCTGACTGCTTAATTTAGAAAGGATCGAATATTTTGGCAAAGGGGAATTAGGAATTTGCCACAGCGGCGATCCTGAGCAGGTCATGTTCAAGGTTTATGTGATAATTTATTTTGTCGTCGCCTATTCGCATTCTATGCATTCATCATAATTACAGTGTACTGCCAAAGGATTGCAATACATTTTTTATTAGACCGAAATAATGCTTTAGTCATCGTTCTACGTGAACATTATTGACTCTTCATTGCCAAGGTCATAAAATAAGTAACTGGTTAGGATAATCATTTTTCACCCGTGTGTGCCTCATCTAGTACATGCACTACATTGACACATAGAATAATAAAATCCAAGCGACAACTGGGTATAAGTATTGTGGTTATATTTAATTGGACGTGCCAAGAAAACCATTTGGGTTTGTGAACTTATACGTTTCTGATAAAATTGATTAACCGACAAATAATCGTTTGTTTAATTTATCCGTGGAATAATTTTTTATACAATTTATTACCGTAAATATACCTGGAATGATTTCCGCTTTGAGATTTTACACATTGCGTGCGCTAATAAAACAACACACATTTAACAACCGCCAGACGACGTCCTGCTGCGGATTCTTATTTGAATTTCGCGCGTGAATTGCACACTATGATCTATTCTGTGCGTTCAAAGATAATAACTTAATATCATATGTATCTTAAAAGTATAAAATACATAAAAAAACTCACATTTTGGTCGACCCGACATACTTTAGTTGTCACAATTTTAAGACCTGCCAGTGACCGCCTCCGCACTTAATGTCGTTTATTATTTACGGTCGTCTTATACAAACACATTTATATCTTTACGAGCGCGAGTAAGACATAATACGTGTACATGTACCGCCTGCGTATTGTATTACACCGATGTTTATAATAAGTACACGAACCACTCATTTGTAAACGGGTATTGAGATGGTCTCGACTTCTGAATGTACTACTGTTTTGCAGTAGTGGTTTGGGACATATTTGGCACTGTATTTTTTAAAATCTAAAACTCAAGAACACGTTACTACTAAAGAATATCTAGTGCAGTACTTGATTTATCAACTCCTACGGTGACATGACAATATATATCTAAACCGAATAATAAAATTACCATAGGTAACCAATCACAACCCTTCGTTTATCGTGGACAGACATCGCGGCGCGCGTTTCTTCTTATAATTATTATATGTATTGGACTGTACTCCAAAGTATTGTTTATTTGACAGTTATCTAACCAACCGATCAGTTTTCAATTAATCGAAGATCGTAACAAGTGTAAGTCGAATACACTCGGCATCAATAGGCAAAACATAAAATAAAAATGATTCTTTATGAAAAAAAGAGTTCAACTTGATCTTTTATTTATAACGGAGCTGGGAAGTTTTCTAACCATTTAACTTTCTAGAAAAAATATGCGATTCATCCGGCTATTGTCGCCATTTTCGATTACACATTAATTGGCTTGATCTTCCGTTTCGATAAAATACAAGTACGAAGTACTTAATACAATATTTATTTTATAAAGTAAATATATGATCGATTTTTGTTGTTTCATGTCGTAGTTAACTTAATGAGTAATTTATTTTTAATAGCTTTTGGATACCTGACACATCCGATAACTCAACTATGCGTACCGGTAATAGTTAAATCGTTCAAATAGACTTAACAAAGGATAATTTTGCGTTCATGGAATAATAAAATTCCGTTTTATCAATCAAATTGTCAAGTATGTAGGAGATCTTTATTGCTTCTATTGAAGAATTTAAATGATTTTAAATTTATACAATTAAATATAAGTAAATAATTTTTCATCGTACTTAGCTTATAAGTGTATAAACAGTTACTATTCTAGATTCAATATTATTTAATTAAATGTCAGAAGACACCGTTAATATGCTAAAATTGCAGCTGACGATCCAAATGTACTTTTACTTAGACTTATAATATTCAACGACATCAATACATTCATAAAAAATAATACAACTCAAACATGGTACAATCTATGGAATCAAGAACCACAAAGCTGAATCCAAATAAGACAACGGTATTTCAATGAATAAATGTTAATCTTAAAAGAAAAGAAGTAGTCATTATTATTAGACTTACACACCAGACTTACTCGAGGATATCACATACCAAATCCACAGTTTTAGTGTATCAAAAAATGTCCCACCTAAATGTGAAAACTGTGAAATGGCCTTTATGGTAAACATATAATTGCTGAATGCCCCAAATACAAAAATAAGCGTATCAAACAAGATATTCCTCCCTGTCTCTTGAATGTTAAATTTTTGAATCTAGATCTTTGTCGAAAACTGAGATAGATTTTATTTAGTTTTGACAACAAACTTATTTTCAGATATAATAATAATTTCATAAAATACAATAGTTTAATCAGAAACATATTTAAGGTTTCAACGTCCAAGGCAGTATTATTTTGACGTTTTCACCACATGAAGTGCATTGGGAATCTTGGGAAGCCACTGAAAATATGAAAAAAATATATAAAGTTCTATAAAAATAATCATCAGGAAGGATAGAATTTCAACAAGATCACCTGAAATTTTGTTTATCGAAAATAATAAAAATAAATACCAATTTATGTAAAAAGTTGTTCACTTTTTTTTTTTTAAGATTATTTATAATTCATGTCAACAAAAATATATTTGATTATTATCATTGACATATTTTGAAAATTAATATAGACTAATTTTCATCATGACAAAACTTATTTAAGTTTTTTAAAAGCCAATAAAAGGTTAAAAAAAATTAATTTGTTTGATGAAGGTACAAATACAAAAAATAATTATGTATTTTTTGTATTGTTAGTTCAAGAACACTTGTGACTTTAATTATTTTTTTTAATGGCTAATTGCACTTTCGACATTAAAAATATAAATTGAAATGTAACTTGAACATTTTTCAATGTAGCTTTGCAACATTGTTAATAGATTTTATATCATGGACTTCAAAATTGTACTGTTATTTTGTTTAGTATCTAATATACTGTGAGTATAAACATAATGTTTATTATCCTTTTAACTATTATTATAAATTAAATATTTTAATAAATAATTATTTAAAAATGAAAAAATGTTGAATTCGAAATTGCAATTCTTCAAATTTCTACTTATTAATTAGTCATAGATATTATTCAATTAAATAAGAATTAACATAATAAAATTTGTTTTTCAGATGTGATGAAACTTCAGAATTAAAAATTAGTAATACTGTTATATTCATTAATTTTACTTTCGTGAATGTTATTTACTATGTGCAAGTTATGTAACAAAATAATTTTATTTTAGATCAAAATGGTCATCAAATTTTAAACAATGAGCAAAATAATTTTGGAAATGGCAATTCAAATGAAGAGGAGATGTTTGGAAGTAAATTAAATAACGAAAATGAATCTGAAAATCAGATTAAATATGAAAATAGTGAAACTGAAATGATTGAAGAAACTGACGGACAAGATTATAAAATTGAACAAGGAAATGCAAACGACCATTTTGGAAATCACGGTAAGTTTATTATAAAATTTTACTAAACTATACTTTCAACGAAATTTTCAACGAATTAAAGACATGTTTGGGCCTTCACACGGTGGACCACCACATCACGGTGGACCACCACATCACGGTGGACCACCACATCATGGTGGACCACCACATCATGGTGGACCACCACATCACGGTGGACCACCACATCACGGTGGACCACCACATCACGGTGGACCACCACATCACGGTGGACCACCACATCATGGTGGACCACCGCATCACGGTGGGCCACCACATCATGGTGGACCACATCATAAAGGGAAATTTCATGAACATTCCCATGGAGAGAATTTTCCCAGTGGGCAATCTCACGGAGAAAGTTGTAGTGAAGAAAGTTCATACAGAGGGCTATCTTACGGAAGGCAACAAAAAAGTTTATTGAATGGAAGACCATCAAATGGTATGCCATGCCATAATATGTTACAATCACAACAATATGGTAAGCAAACGTCTTACGGTATACCATCAAGCAATGGAATGAATAGAATGAACATGAATGATCATAAGCCAAGTTACTCAATGAGTGACATGAATTACGGTAATATATTAACAGAATTAGTCTTTACATAAACAAATTAAAACTTTTAGAAATTTGCATATTTTATAAGTTTTATTTATATATTTTATTTTCAAATTGAAAAATGTCCTATGAAGTTCATTTTTCTTAGAATATTTCATAAAAAATTATTAAGTTGTCTATAGTTGTTAATCAAAATTTAGTTGAAACATTAAGTTCGAATGCCAAGTCATATAGATCACTCTAATTAACATCCTAACCCTTAGGATGCTAAAACAATTGATAGTTGTATTTGTCTTATTTATAAATAGTTACGTAAATAATAGTTTTGAAAAAAATTAAAAGTCGTATTTTCAATTTATACAAAGGTAATAACCAACAACATAGGGGAAATCAAAATGGATTTCAACACCAACAAATGTCCTCCAGGAAACATAATTTCAATAGTAATGGAGAAAACATGGAAAGCAGAGGATATTATGGTAAACGGCAATTCCAAGATAATAATCATTTTAATAATAATGGAGAAAACAGCTTTGGAAATGAAATAAACTCTGATGGAGGCTTTGGAAAAAACAATATGGATACCATGGATAACTTTGGAAATCAAGGAAGATTCGGTAAAATTAACAACAAATATTATGTTGATAACAAAGTAAAATAATCAAATTTTAACAAGGTTTCATTCATTAGTAACAAATAAACTCCGAAGTAGATTTTCACTAATAATATATTTAAAACAAATATTATAGTTTAATTTTAAATATTTTAGGAGTCAATAGAGGACGAAAACATTGTAATGGCAATAGTTGGAATAACATGAATAACGAAGAAAACATGAATCCAATGATGGGACCAAAGATGAACCAGAATGGTCATGAATCGTTTAATCCTCAGTCATTTGGAAGTAATCAATATAGTTCACAATGGGATCAGTCAGAATTTAACGGAGGAATGAATCAAAAAAAAATGTTAACCCAATGAATAAAAACCAACATCAATACTATTAACGAAAGAAAACTTTAATTAATTAGATTTATGCATACATCTATTTCAAGGTTTTTTTACCTTTAATAAAAAAACTTAAGTTTCAAAAAAGTCAATAAAAATTGTCCATTCAACATATTGTTTGATCAAAAAATGATAGTTACATAACCTTCAAATTGATATTATAACTAGTTGACATAATTAAAAGATATTTACTGTCACGTCCTAAGATTGGCTATTTTCAAATTGATAATAATACATAAATGATAATATACAGTTTAACAAGAAAAAACTATTTATATGTTATGTATGTCATATGGTCAACATATTAGATACATGATCTCATCTTATAATTATTGTATGACAACTGTGCGAATGGTTGGTTCTTCCTCATATACTAAATTGTTATTTTAACACATTTATTTTTTGCCGTGTTATTTACTGTTACCAGTTACACTTCTATGAACATATATTACTACCAGACTTCTTACGCTACTGTCATTTATATGTCGGCGGTCGTCATAATATTACTTAATCCCCGTTCCCATGGGCACACATCCCCAAGATATTCATGTTTCTGCTGTGATCTTCGGCAACACTTGACGGTGTTTATTGAATTATTGGCGGGAGAGAAACTCTTATAAGGCGGCCGAAGGGTCCAAATCAAAATAACCATCACGCCCAATGTTAAACTAACCAAGAATAAACTTTGATCGTCACTCCCCTAATTTGAAAAAAAATTACCCTAGCAATTTATATAATATAATCTTTCTTTGCCCTATATGACGGTTCTTAATTTGGAATTGTGGGGTTGGTATAAGCAACTGTAGCATTATTCAAAGAGAATACATTTATTCTCCATTAATCGATTGTCCGGTAAGTAAGACTTAGGCACTTAAAAAATACAGTTTATGTTTAATAGTAAATAACTTGACTGTTTTTCGAAGAAACATTAGGGCGCTTAATAATTTATTTAAAATAAATGTAAGAATAATGTTAAGCAAATGAAATATCTTATTCCTAAGTATCTCTTGTTATAAAACTCTAAACAAGTAACTCACTGAAAATCTACAACGTGGATATTTAATTTCATGGTGAATCTAATTTTTACACCTTATTCGTTTGATAAAATTACAATATTAAAATAAAAAATTAAGTTGAATAAACTAGGACATTTTTCAAATGATTTTGATTACCGTAATTTATTTATATTTTTCAATAATAAAGATTTACGATAGAAAAGAAATCATGAAATAGAATACCTCGCGACCTCTCACGAATATTTTTATCAAAGTTCCACGAGGTTTCAATAGAGACTTTAATTCCGGTGATTGAGTACAGTAACTCTGTTAGGGCCTTAGTATTATGTCATGTGGTGGTTATTTAACCGTTATCAAACTATGGATTCCTGAGATTTATGTAGATTGAATATTATACGCCAGCGATTTTAACGCCATGTAATCATTCAGTGTTAGTATTATTAAACCTAAAGTCGACGTGTACCAAATTTATTAGGAATTTCTCGATAGTCAATAAAATTTTTTACACATTAAACAATCCCTCGGTGTTATAAAAACACAAAAGCCGTTTTCGTGAACGGGGTTTTTGGCATCGAAAGAAAAACATGGATTTCTATCGTATCTTTACGGTCCATTGATTCTAACTTGGCCGCGTCTGGGACGACAATATAATTCTGCATTGTCTGCACATCTAGTGAATGATGACCTGTCCAATATTACAAACATCGCAATAGTAATAACGCGCATATCAAATTTATCTGCATTTACACGTTGCCTATGAACTCGCTATAGGTTTTTTTAAACCGCTACAAAATAAGTAAAAAGATACACACACCTCGGCTTACTATGTATTAAATTTTAACACTAGACAAAAATCCTCGTTTCGAGTCAAATCTTGGTCCGGCCGTTTTACATTATAATAGACGCAAATGAAGTATGTCTAATTATTCACGCGTTGTTGATTTATAATTTTACAAATAGCAAACACGTGTTAATAATTACAATGGAGCTACAAAAACTTAACGTTCTCAAATGAAATTTGGTCATGTTTTTCAACAAGACCACATGATAATGTAATAGTTTCGAAATAGCTATACAGCATTTTTCTACTAGGCCTATGATAGTATCAAATCTTATTTCTTTTATATCTTTAAGTCTCCTGTAACATAAGTTTGAATTTTATTCGAGTTTTTATTTCCAAAATTTGCTATCGAAAACTATATCATTAAAATTTTGCCATCAGAGAGAATGATCGTCAGGCCAAAGGTTTAAGCATTTTTTACGAGGATGAAATGCCTAACAATCTAAATTACTTAATTCGATTATGTACTAAATTGAATTTAATGTTATAAACTGTGCGTGGTTAACGATTTGTTTTTATTATTACAGCCCACGTTGTCGCAAACGGAAAATCCTGTTTTCTAGTTACTTTGACTGCTTTGAGAGACCAAAAATGTATGTTAGGATATAACGTAAACACACGAGAAGAACAGCAATAACGTTTTTAACAAACAATTTTCCCCCGCGTTTTACATTTTTACGATGTTAAGAGAGCAATCGGATCATTGGAGTCACTTTGACCACAATGCACCATAAGTGTAATGTTATCGACTTGACACAGCTGTAAGTATTGAGTATCTCGTGTTGAAATGTACGGTTTCAGTGAAATCACACAATACACCGCTCTGGTGTGGGGCTATAATTTATGTCAACATCTAATGAATATATTTGGACATCTTGAATAAAAAAGGGTAGATCGTATTGAACGAACAGTATTTTATAGTGGTTTCCCTTGGCGGGTCGGAAACCACCCAAATTAATTTTTAAACCGTATTATCTCCGTTGGGGTAGCGTGCCTAATTTTACCACAATTGACTCTAAGGTATAACAGTGCGTCAGTATAAAAAATTGTCTGAACACAATGAAACGGAAATTAATATTATACTTGAAAGGGCCACCTCTGATTTATTTTCGATACATTATTTTTGGGGCAAATATTATCAAATTTTTTACTTTTACTTGTTTTAAATTATATGAAAGTTTTGGTGATATTCTTCTCTTAGTTGATTTTAATTTTTGTTTGTGTTACTAAATTTTTCGGGTAAAATATAATCAATAAAAACAAATTTTATTAATTTGTTATTTTCTCGATATCGACACAAATACTCATTGTACTTTTAAAGCATTAATTTTCTTTATATCTATAGAAAACAAAACTGTTTAGCTGCCAAACAAATTTGGCTATAAATCAGTGTATACGTTTTTAAATATTTTGTCATTCTTAACCGTATAACAAGAGAAAAATGTTTTATTTTAGTTCGCTAATTCGCAAACTATTCGACAAGTGTGTTTCAATTTGACGTGTATTTAAACATTTTTTTAACAGTACTAATTAAATAAAAACAATAATATACTTGTCAATAATGACAATGATGAATGAATTGTTGAGTCATAACTGAAGTTGTCATGGCGTACGACGAATCTCTTTATCCTTTTGAATTTTTTGTTTTATCCACAAAATACGTATGATGTCATAACCACAATACCGTTATGTTATTGATCATCAACTTTTTTCATTAATTTACTGTTGTTTTTGATGCCTTGCGATTAGCCGAGAGTGATCAAACTCTCACTGGGCATTACATTGGATGGACTTGGAATAAAGACCGTTTATGTAAAAATATATAAGCCACACATAGCACTTCAGATATTTAAAATAAGAATTTTTGTAATTATGTTCGATGTGCCCGTTAGGCCTAAAATGATAGTGTTATAATACAAAAAAATATATCACCAAGCTCCTACGCTTTCTAAAAACCGGTTAACCCATTATTCTTATTATTATAATAACAAAAAGTAATCATAATTTATGCTAACACGAAGCTACGGACAGTTATTCGATTATATTTTTTAGCGTATTGATTAAAGGTGTTGTTTTACCTGTAAGCGTGCTCTGTATACAAACCATATCAATTCACACCCCAATTGTATAACCGACAAAGGATCTTACGTTGGGATCGGAAGAAAAATAAATAAATTAAGACATTTTTGTGTCTCTTTTGCCATACCCTACGTGTCCCAGTCAATTAGGTAAGATTTTGGTAAGGCGCATTGTGCAACAAGTTAGCAAATATTGACTGGGCTTCAGCGGTACACCGAGAAGTCTCAAGAAGAGAGTAAACACTGTTTTTGTGTCTTCAAGAGCGAACATGCCGCTGCCTATTCCTGTGGGAATCGTTCTCAACGACGTCAATGCGTTTGTAGTGCAAATAATATGCCTACTTAGGCAACTAATTGAGCCCACTGCAAAGCAGTTTGTTGTGCGCCTCGTATAGATATTTAAATGAAAAAATTCGAATTGCGTAGGCGGTTAACGTAGTGTGTTTGTATGCGGCGCAACAACGTGCACATAATGCGAAACTTCTTGGTTATTATACAAAAAAAATAAAAACGTTTATTTCTTTTGTCAATAATGATTATAAAACGATAAAATATTTAAACTGAAACCGTTACTGGAATATTGTTTACTCCGAAATAATAAATTTAAATGTCTCGATTACACAACTATGTAAAATATGTTACCTGCGATCACAGGAACAATGCATGAGAGTGTTTAGCCGCCAGTTGAATAGACCGTATTTCGTCTCCAACGCGCCTATGTACAGCGGACAGGAAGTGTCGTGAACTCGGCAACAACGATCGGCCCCTCCGAAACCGCCCAAATGAGTGTACTTTTTGGCCGACCGGCCTTTGCCACACCATTTAGTGCCGGGCACTCTCAACACGGCCATAAGGTCCCTCTTCCGTCGGTCGTTGTTACTTCTGAAACAGTGTCAAACGTGTTTACCCACGGCCGCCCTGAAAGTCGTATTTTCAAAACATACCTGCCCGGGGGGGCGATGAGGTTTTCTTGTTGTTGTTTCGCGTGCCGCCGGTGTTGGCCGGCCAGTTCTCGGCGAGCGTTCTTGTGGTTTTTGCGACAGGCTCTTTTCAAACGACCAAAGTCCACCATGACGGCATACCGTTTGGACAACGCCGCCACCGAGTTGTTCTTGCCCTGTTCTTCTTTCCAGAATTCTCGACGGAAATCGCACGACGCTTCCCTTTCGCTGACGTACTCGCAGTCCAAAAGTCGATCGGCCGTCCCGTAAATCAGTTGCATGAAATGCACTCCGTCCGTGACCTGATGCAAAGTCAACGCTTCCCTGTGGACAAACCAGTAAAGTTTATTAGCCACCGTAGTAATCAACACCGTATCGGCGCTTAGGTCATTGGCCCGGGAAATCGGTTGATAACACCGGAGCCGTTTAAATATCACGGGGCATCGCGTCAACACCGAGTAACTGTATTTATTTTGTATTCTCCATCCGTCACACGATTTATTATGATAATGCCATTACGACGCGCGACCGGCGGGGGAGGAATGGCCATTCACACTCGATAATAATATACGTACTGAAGTGTCAGCAGCGTTCAATATCCGTTGGCGGCTAGTTCACCACAATCGTCTGAGCACGACCAATTTCAAGACGGCTGGGGGCAAACGCCGACACGATAAACGGCGTTACAAAAAAACGTTTGTCCGCTAATAGTTACCGTGTAGTGTTTCTAACGCGCGTGTAACATGCAAGAGAAATTCGAAGCTGTACGCGTTTATCCCATTCAATAACAATATAGTTGTAAGCCCACAACGTCGTTTTCCATTCGTTAACCACTCAAAACAACAATATTTGTAGTGTAGAGAATGTATTGGACGTCTGGTCGGACACTGCAATGGCCGAGACAGATTTCCATAAAATCCAGCGAGTCTCTCGATAAACAATTTACGTACAAGCGGCGGACTATAAAAACGATACATGAAATTCTTGAAGATATTCAATGGCAACAGCAAACTATAATACAGCGCGAGACGTTACTGTTAGGTCAATATATACCGTGAAAATTACAGATGTACGAACGTTGTTAGATATTGTAACACCTCCCCTTTCTTTACGCATTCATGTCACCCTTTCGACTACCGGTTATAGGCAAAAGTTGACGCAATGGCACCACTCGAAATAGTCATAGTCAGACACATGCGTTCTATGGTAACGGATTAATTTTTTCCTTAAATTTATGCCCTAGTAACGATAAGACAGTCCAGTTGATAACGTCACTGATCATTATGTGGCAACGTGTTTTAAAAATGAAAAAAACAAACGAGGAAAAAGTAATTTCACATTCGTCGGTATTTTCAACGTTTAATTGATTCGTTTTTGTCGAGGAATGTTATTTTTTTTAGTACATTCGTACAAGTAAATACGTTGTGATAGAACATCGAGAAGTTCAAGTGTTTTGTTTGTTCAGTGTCGAGTAAACCGAAAATGCTTAAAATTCACGCACAGAAATCGCAGTAGGACTTGCTGTACACGATCGTAAACAGTTTACACGTTAGCGGCCGATCGATGAAAAACACGCATAATTACAATAATGTGATTGTAAATAGTAATTCTAAAATTAACTGATCTCTTCAATATCAACTATTTGAGTTGTACAGAAGAGAACATCGCAGACACGGTGTACACCACGAATTTTCTATACGTTTAATATCGAGTAAAAAATAATACATTTTTAAAATTGTCCACGAATTCTTATGCTACACGCTAAAATCTTGCCGTGCCTATCAACAGCACAGTTTACTCTAACAGGAGGGGTACGCCTGTTTTTAAAACTAATATATACCAATAATAGTAAGTATAAGTGTGTGTGTGTGTGTGTGTGTGCTAAACGTATTGCTACCACATAAATATTTCTCCTGTTGATAGTTTCTACAATCGTTTTAAAGATTATATTCATAATAGTCTTTTAGATTTCAATTTTGCGGAGCGCATATAAAAATTGAAATTAATTGATATGGTCGGGAACCGATTCTTTTCAGTTGTATCGTTTTCTGTCTGCCGGACGACAAAATATTCATTAAATATTAAATTTGTATTTTTAATTGGTCATCGCTATAATTATAGAAATGGTGCAAGCATTTTACTTGTTTTTGGAACTTTATTAGTTGTCAATGATATTCGTTTTATCATAACACGTGGTTTCTCAATTAAAAACATTTTATCTAATAGTTATCGAAAAAACCCGCTCGAGACAATATATATACTGATAAATTTAACTGTATTCGGTACACACTTTTAATTATAATTGATCCTATTTTTGAGTAACGAGGTCTTACAATAACTAACATGTAACGTACTTAGTCCTAATCCTACACGCAGAAAAATAAGTATGATTATTATGGAACGAAATGTTGTAAATAAATTAAATAGATCGCAAGAGTGGGACAAGCGGATATTTTATCGTATTATGAAAGTTAATTTGTTTTACAGTAGCTGTTATTAGTTACGTATTATTAGCTTAAAAAAATACTGGTGCGCTGTCACGCCAACGTTTATTTGCACGTCATTTGTATAATTGAAAATATTGTTCAAGATCATTACATCGGAGTTATGGCCTATCCGCATCGATAAAAAACCTATTAGCAAACTCAACCAATAACGGCAAACATGGGATTTTATGGGTCACAGTGTACTTGTCATTATCAACTTGATTAGGTCAAGTTTTCACCACTAGTATAAATGCACCATAAGGTTTAGGATATAGCATCGAGTTTGTCGTTCAAGAATTGACCTTATTAGAAAATGAACGTAAAAGGTTCGGAAAACCTTTCCATAGTAACACTTTCGAGTTATCCAATAACGATAATTTCACGGAGCAATTATAACCGTCAACTAGTATAACAAATGTGTTTTTTAATAGTGTCGTAGTTTATTCAGCGATTTCGGTACATTATCCACCAGATAAAGAACTGTAACTTAAATCGAGTGGTAAAATCAAAACGCATACATAAATAACAGTTGGAGGTGTACGAATCCATTATCAGTGGGCTTAATGCATGTCGTTCTGGTAGTGATTAATACGGTAGTCGTCAAGAGGGAGAGTTTTTCTTTGCGCCCTTCAGCGCATTAGAGAGGAGAGTACGCTAATAACGCTGTCATCGAAAAGACAAAAATCGTCGGCGTCCACCCCCACGGCGGTTTTCGAGATTAATTGCAGTCGACTCGCTCCGTATAAATATATACAATTATTTATACGTGCGCGCGCGCTAAGAGAATTAACCGCAAAACGCAACTCGTTAACACAATATGTTATGGCCGTCGGGGACACGACAAGAGGGACACAGCCGAAAATAACAATAATAATAAAAAATACAGTCACCGCCGTGAGTCGTGGGTCCCGTAAACTTTGCGGCAAAAGGTGAACGCCAGAAATACCCTCACTATCAATTACACTTGACGGTTCAATGGAAAACAATTAGATCAGACGCTGGTACGCGCGCGCGCACCATCGGGACACCCGACAATAATGTAAAATGTAAATGTTGAGTGTGTGTGTCTCGCTTTTGTACGGCACGGCCGAAGGGCGTCCCATTGTGTCGGCCGAGTTTATTAAGAGTCATCGGCGACCGACACCCCATTTAACAGCCGCACACACGTCCCTCCGTCCCATGTAAGGGACGTACGCGCTCTGACTTATGGTTCGAGTGTGTGCGAGTAACATTACGCGCGTAGGTGTATCTATCTCCGGAATGCCTTCTAATCGCCGCAGTCAACCGCAGACGAGAAGAGCTCGTCCGGTCATTTGTTTTTTTCCTGCAACGACCGTTTTTTCGTCGGCCAAATCGTTCTGGTGCAGGTCACTTTACTAATGTCGAAATAAATAATTTTCTTTTTTTTTTGTCGCCCGCAAATATGGCCGCAGAGAAATCAAACACAACAGCCGTGTTCCGTTCTAATAATAGAATTAATTATTATTTTTTACACGAAACGGTATAGAGCGAATTGGCGAAGATTCGCCAAAGCCAATGGATTCCAACGTGTGTTACTAAGACGTCAAGATTTAGCGTTAGTTGAATTTAAATATACTTCTCTGGGGAATCGCACCACTTAATCATTTGAAAATAATTACAATAAGAGGAAGTTTAGGTTACCATCACATGATGTTATACACAGTATTGTGCCTTTAAGATGCCAAGATACAAGACATTTTCTTTTATGTTTTTGTTGTCCTCTAAACATGACAAGGGCGTACAATTCATCAAAGGACAACAAAAAAAAGCGTGAGCGTTTAAAATTACACGTTTTAAACACTTAATTAATGTATTAGAAAAAAATGATTTACGAAACAAAATTAAATATTCGGTGGGACTTGTGGGTCTAATGGCTCGTGACACTCATACACTGCAGAGTGAAATTATAAAACGAATATTGTATCAGAACGAGTCCTGATAGTCTGCCAAATAATCAACAATAGAAAAAAAATTATGACTATTTTTTGAAATTGACGGTTCGATAAATTGTCGACGAACGGCAATTGAACGATTCTGTTTAATTAATTAAATTTTTACATGAACATTAGAATATGTTGATTACTTGGATATGTGTTTCGATTAGCACAAACCGATTCTTGCATTTCAATTAAAATCTCATTTTTATAGGCTATAAAACATCTAATGTAAATACTCTCGTGAACTAATTGATTAAACAACAATGTGCGCGTTGTTTCAACTTAACGTCCAACGGAATCTTTAGAATAGGATGCGGTTATCAATTGAAAAAAAAGTGGGCACAGCAAAGTGATGGAATGTTGATACGCGGCCAACTCTTGCGACTTGCACTCTTCGGCTTTCGTTGATTTATAATTATTCCAAGTGGTCAAGCGTTCTCATTAGAGTACAGTGCACTTAATACCGGTAAGTATCTCGCCGTCGTAAATTGAATAAAAAACGATCAAAAGAAAATTCGCTAGAATTAGTTGTTCTTAAAGACAAATGACAATTAAAATGCAAGAATCGTTTGGCGTCTTATGGGCATTGTACGTAAAACTAGTTACAACGACTCACACCAACAGTACTTTTTCTTTTTCATTATGTTTCGGTTAATAAATACGAACGACTGTCGATGACTCGTTTATTTCCGCGTATTCCCGTTCAGCACTTAATTAGTATTGCACCTTGCTAATAATAACCAGGGAGGTATGAACTCTCACGGAGTTTTGCAAATTGGAAAACAAGTTTAAAAGAAAAAGGTCCCCAGAATCAACACGGAAATCGCTTATTTTCATCTCGACTGCTGCGAATCGGTTTGAATAATCTGCCAAAGCTGGT